CCTGTAGGATCAGGAATAGAAATATCAATTTCCCTATCAAATCTACCAAATCTACGAAGAGCTGGATCAATAGAATTTGGACCTATGATTTTTTTAATCATAAAAAAAAATGTAATAGAAAGTTTACGATTAGTAGCCGCCATGACAATTACATTTGAACGTGCTTTCATTCCATCCATTAAAGTAAGCAACTGTGAAACAACTCTACGTTCAACTTCTCCGTTTGTTTTTTCGCGTTTAGGAGCTATAGAATCAATTTCATCAATGAAAATAATAGACGGTGAATTTTTTTCTGCCTCTTCAAATGCTTTTCGAAGATTGCTTTCTGATTCACCGGCCATTTTACTCATTATTTCAGGACCATTAATAAGAAAAAAAAAGGCACCTGTTTCATTAGCAACAGCTCTAGCCATAAGTGTTTTTCCTGTCCCAGGAGGACCGTATAAAAGAATTCCTTTAGGTGGCTTAATACCGATACTTTTAAAGAGTTGTGGATGACGAAGAGGCAATTCAACCAATTCACGAATCTGTGCCATTTTTTTCCTACATCCTCCAATATCATCATATCCTACATCAGCAAGATTACTTTCTTCTTCTTCTCTATTAATAGGTTCGCCCTCGCAATGTATAATTGTATCTTGTGCAACAATACCATATTCAGAAGGATCGATTTCAATAACTTTGAATTCCACTTGACGCATCCCACCGCGCACCTAGAATTAATAAATCTTTAGATGTTGATAAGATTAAAGCATACTGTAAAAAGATCGCCTTTGCGTACAGGTCTATAAGCCTCAACAAAATATGGTTTAAGATAAACTTCAAAAAGAGAGCCAGTAAGACCTTCAACTGTATCTGCCAAAGGTAGAACTGATATCCTTGAAGCATATTTGATATTAGGACAAGGATAAATTGTGATAATGTCCCCAAGACGAACTCGAAGATTATTACGAACAACTCGATTAACTCGTGCAACACCATCTTCCATATCATCATCAACAAGAACTATTAATACAGTATCTCGTCTTTTTTTTCCCTATTAATTAATCAGAATCACATTAAGTAAATAAAGAGGAATACCTTGACTAAAACAGTGTCTCCGCGAAAAAGCTGTAATATTTCCACTGTATTATTGCTTAGACTAATTACGCTATTGTCATCGTTTACAGCATCATCGACAATGAGACTATTCTGCTTTTTTTTTTTTCGAAAAATACTCATTGCCAATTTGCTTTCAGATTCTAATTTTTCTACTCTAAAATATATACATTAATATTTCCCTAGAAAGTATAATAATTTTTAATAACTTACACATTTTCTTTTTTTTTGTTATTTGAATCCCCTTTTCCCAATTCTTCTGGCATCATATTGCTTCTTTTTTAGCTTTTTTATTATTTTTTTTTTTGATTTTTAGAAATCTGGGTGATTTACAATTATATAAAAAGCGATTAAGTTTGTTTGAATTTATATAGAAAATATTTAAAAAAATTAGAATAATAAGTCATAAAAAATCTTTAGTATTGAATATATCTATATAATTATATATTTTTTAAAGTTTAAAAAAAATGTTAATGTTTGATATGTTATTTTGGTGAAAAGATTATATATTTAAGATTAACCGGATTTTAAAATAAAATTATCGACATATTGATTTTAATATTCTAATATGATATTATATATATATAATTAGTTGAAATATATATGTTGTATTTGTATTTTTTTAATGAAGTAATATAATACATTTGAAAAATATTAAAGTTAAATTAAGTTTAGAAAATGTTTTTATGTTATGCTTTTAAAATAACATGATTTATGAGAATTTTTTAAAATAATTGTTTGAAAATCAAGAAAAAAATTAAAAAATATGAATTATTAAAATGTATAAAATGATAGAAATATTATTTGATAAAATATTGTAATTTTAAAAAAAAAGGTTATTTTTTGTTTTGTACCAATTAATAAATATTATATAAAAGATGTATTATTTAACTAATTTTATAGAGAGATTTCTGTATTTTTTATATAAATATTTTTATAAAAATCATATATTTTCATAAACGATGTATAAAATTAACTATTTTTCATAATTTATAAAATTATTATGAAAAGTTTTTACAATTGACAGCATTATAAGAGTATTTTTAATAATTTATAAATGTTAAGAATTGTGAATATTTTGGATGAAAAACGTAGAAGTGATCTGTAGAATATTCAAGTAATAAAATATATATTTAAAGATTGAGATATAAAAACATAATATCGGGTTGTTTTTTATGCGAGTCAAGAGTACTAAGTATTTAAAACTTTTCTTCATATTCGTAGAACTTTAAATATTTTAATTTGATATCAATACGAAATATATCTTTTTATATATTTTAAATAATTATAGACTCCATGGTACTATGGCCGAGTTGGTCCAAGGCGTGAGATTTAAGCTTTTGTAATATCTCTCATCTCGAAAGAGGCCTGGGTTCGAACCCCAGTGGTACCAAATTTTTAAGTATTTGATTTTAAATTTTTCTTAATTTATAAGTGCTAATAAGAATTTTAAAAGTTCTTTTACATTATTTTATGTATGGTAATTTTATGTATAAAAATACGATATCTTTTGAATTAAATTATTAGACAAATAATGCTTATTTAATATAAATAGATGATAAATAAAATATGTTAATTTTGTAATAATAAATTATATATGTTTTGATTTTGTTTTAAATTTTCTTTTGTTTTAGAATTAAAAGATATTTAAAAATATTTTTATAGATTTTAATGTTCAATAAAATAGCGATTTACAAACATCAAAAAATGATTACTTTTAAAATTCTATATTTCTAGTAATATTATAAATATGATGTTAGAAAATGATTAGAGGACTTAAATTTTTAGCTGCGATTTTAGTTAGAATTATTGGATATATATTTTCTTTTTGTTAAAATAAACATTTAAAATTTGAAAAATGTTTCTAAGTAATATTAAAATCTGTACGGTTGTATACGTCATTTCAAATTGATTTTTTAATATTACAAATGCAAAAATATTGTAGTTATACGAAAAATAAAAAATATCACTAAACATTGGTAAATTCCAATATTGGTTCACCAATATTAATTATTTCTGGTATAGTACATTTCAAATCAAATGCTTTTGAGAGTACAATCTTAAAAATCTTACAGTTTAATATAAATGAAAGTAATATAAATTAAAAATACCTTTTGCACATTAATAGAATGTGATGTTGAACAAAAGATAAGTGATGCTTTCATAGCTTGAGAAAAACGTCTGGCCTTTAATTTTTTAATAAATCAGATAAATATAGTTATATTATACCTGTTTAGTTATTTCTTCTTGATCTTCCCTAGGAAAGTTTGCAAAATGGTCATATTTAGTTCCAATAAGAAATGGAATAGCAGTCTTTCAGTTATTAGGGTCATATAGCATAAAGATTAATTTTTTTATTACTTTATTAAATCCCCTTGCCTGACGATACCATTCTTTTATACTGTTAAGTGTACTCTTACGTGTTAAATCAAACATAAATAAAATAGCTACTGCATCATTGCAAACTAATGGAAGCATATTAACAAACTCTCTTTGCCCTCCAAGGTCCCATATAGAAAATGTAATTTCTGTATTTCGAATAGAAATGGTTTTTTCCATAAAATTTACACCTATAAGAATTAATTTGTTTAGTCATTTTGGCAATGAAAAGGTATACCAAGTGTCTGGATATAATCTTTGGAATTTATAAGTCTTAAGATAGATTTTAAAAAACAATAACTTACCCTCATCAAATGATCCCTCTACATATTTCACCATAAGACTTGTTTTTCCTATCTGAGAGTCACCAACCATACCCACTAAAAGGAAGACAGTAAATAGAATACATTAAGAAACCCATTCCTACCCTTAATTACAACGCTAGTCTTTTTATTAGTAGGCTCGCCTTTGTTAATTGTTGTTGGTCCTGACATAGCGAATTATAAAAAGATCCTGGATTTAATACCAAAATTATGAGTTTTATATATTTGGATAAACAATTTTTCCAGAAGTTATGCAAATAAATCTCTATGACTGAAAAATATCTACAATTTCTTATTTATTTTGTAATAAGACGTTTCTTTTTAATATTTTGTTTTTCTAATCTTTTTTTTAATGTACGATGGCAACAACTTTGTTCTTAATAGTTTCATTTAAAAAATACATTATAATACTATTTGTATAATAAATCTGTTAAAATGAATAATATACGTGTTTATATTTTTTAATTCTATCTTTTTATTAGGAAGAATTTCTAGCTTTAATCTTATAATTCCTTAAATTTGTTTATGTAAATTTTTTGTTGATAGATTATTTTTTAGATTATTACCAAAAGAAGAGTAGGGAATAATTACAATGAGTAATATAAAAAAATAATATCTAAAAGACAATGCGTATCTGGAAATATTAAGAATTATTTGAAAGCCTTGAAAAAACTATATTAGAATACTTTAGACAAAACACTTTTATAAAAATGTTTTTATAATACTCCTCTATTTTAAAATTGAGTGTTATTATTTAGTATAAAATACTGTGTAGTATAATATTCTTATAAAAATTAACATGGAATTACAGATAATAGCAATTATAAAAATAAGTATTGTTATGAATTTTTTATTAGTAAAAACAATTTTTGTAGTAAAAACAAAAGAACAAAGTTTATATTTTAAATATTATAGAGCTTTTTTGGAATTTTTTGATATTTTTAAAGTATTTGAGTATCAAAAAACAAAGTCTAAAATCTATAATAAAAAGTTAATAAACGCTGGATATTATCTTAAATCAAATAGGATATAGTTTAGTTCATTAGTTTTAATGTTTTATTTGATTAGAGATTAATGTGTATTTATCAGAGGTGGAAAATTCTAATTTACTAATCGATAAACATATTTAGGCGATAAGTCTATCGAGATAAACAACTATGTATTGTTTTATGTATTTTTTAAGAGTATTATAATCATCAACAAGTTTGATTATATAGCGTGATTCTTTTTATAATTTCTGAATATATGGTATGGAATCAAGTTGGTATTTCAAAACTGCATATTGCATATATAATTCTTGGTTGTTCTGCTTCTCTATTTATGCTTGTTTCTCTTTTTATTAAACAGAGATTATATATTGGAGAAGCGAGTATTGCTACTTATCTTTTTTTTTGTTTTAATTCTTTTCTAGTGGTAGCAACTATTGTAGGTATTGTTTTTGGGCCTTGTTTTATTAATATATTTGATCCTGGTTCGTGGGGTAATATTGGTAAAGTGTATATATAAACTTTTTAAATAATTGATTGATAAATAGATTATAATACACTTGAACTTTCTCGAATTGTTTTGATTGTTCAGGTTTTTGCTGTTGGTGTAGAACTTCCTAAAGGATATATACTAAAGCATTGGAAAAGCTTGGTTATGCTTTTATGTCCCGTTATGATTTTTGGATGGATTATTACGAGTGTTATAGTGTATTTATTAGTACCAAATCTTGTTTTTGTATGTTTCTATAACATTGGATTTTTTATTTATTTAAATTTAGATTGAGGCGTTAATATTAGGTGCTTGTGTTACTGCAACAGATCCTGTTCTTGCTTCTTCTATAGTAGGAGAAAGTGAATTTTCTAAGAAAATTCCTGAGCATATCCGCAATATTTTATCTTGTGAATCTGGATGTAATGATGGATTTGCTGTTTGTTTTTATTTTTATTTCCAGTAATTATCTAATTCTAATAAGCTTCCTTTTCTATTTATTGGATTGCAATTATTAGCAGATTCGTTTAGATTAAAAACTATTGGCAAATTTTTTCTTATAAAAATACTTTATGAAGTTGTTTTCGGTTGTATTTTAGGATTAATCATTGGTTTTTTTGGAAGAAAAGTCGTAAAATTTTCAGAAAAGTATAATTTAATTGATCGTGAATCATTTCTTGCGTTTTATTTTGTGTTATCATTATTTTGCGCTGGAATTGGAACTTTGGTAGGAATAGATGATCTGCTAGTTAGTTTTTCTGCTGGTGCTGCATTTTCTTGGGAGTATGTTTATTCTTTTTTTTTTTTTTTAATTTAATTTCTTTAGTGGTTGGTTTTCAAAAAAAACTGAAGAATCGCATGTTTCTAGTGTTATTGATTTATTGCTTAATTTTGCATTTTTTGTATATTGGGGTGCTATGATACCATGGAAACAATATAATATGCCAGAGCTGGGAATAACTCCTTGGAGATTACTAATTGTTGCAATTTGTGTGTTACTTTTTCGACGAATTCCTGTTATTCTTACGTTAAAGCCTTTAATTCCTGATATTCATACCTGGAGAGAAGCTTGTAATAGTTTTTACTGAAATTGCATCTTGATTAATATTTATAGTTTTTTGTGGTCATTTTGGTCCAATGGGCGTAGGAGCTATATTTGTTTCTGTATTGGCTCGTATAGAATTAGAAACCAAAATCGGTAAGCCTTCGGAAAAGGTTCTAGCTAATTCAATTATTTCTTATCATAAGTTAATACTAATGATTTGGCCTATCACATCATTTTTAGTATTATCATCAATAATTGTACATGGTTCTTCTGTTGCAATTTTTGTTCTCGGGAAACATTTAAATTCATTTTCATTTACTCCAACCCATCATGATAATGAATGTTTGAATTGGATTAATCGTTTTTCGAAACGTGAAATTATACGTCCTGTTATATTTAGAAGAAATTCGGAAAAATATAATACATGTATCAAAAGAAAACTGAATAGAGAAAGATGTACTAGTGATCCGGTTAAGTTTTTCCCTGTTGATAATCTATCTGAACTTGAAAATGGTGACATTTTTCATATGAATGATTAAAAACATACTTTTTTGGCTCGCTCTAAGTAATATCTGAGATATTATAACAAAATAATGTCAATTTTCAAGAATTAGATGAAGGCATATGAATATATAATAGAGATATGATTAGAAAAGTCTTAGTAAAACTAAATGGCTACTGAATAATCCTAATAAAATTTTGTAAATTTGATTTTTTGGCTTTTTAAATAGATACATTGTAAGGAAATAGGAAATGGTGAAAATAATAGGATATAGGATTTAAAGTTAACTATTTATCTTTGTATGGATGGAAAATTCTTTGATAGTAATTTGATAAATCAAAATACAATGATATAAATGATTTAAGTTATAAGTGTTCTGGAACCGGTAAAATCATAAATATTGTTGAACAATAGATGTATAATAACTGATGGAAATGCAGAACGGATTTTTTAACAGAAATAGTGAGAAAAAGTATATTTAAAAAGTAAATAATATAACAATAAAGAAAAATACAAAATCATTCTTTAAATTTGTTAAATGTCAATGGTAATAGTAATAATTTGTAATATAACCTTGGATAGTTTCAATAAGAATATGATTTAATATTAAATTTAATATTTTAACTTTGTTTTTATAGGTTTTTTTAATGTTCTATATAAAATAAAGTTTATTCATTGTTGATGAAAAATATGTATATAATAAAATTATTGAATCAATTTATGGTTTTAGTCTGGTTTCAATTTAACTATGATTACTTATAATATTTCGTATATCTTTTAATTATATTTAAAAATCATTTTTAAATGTATATCGAAACATATTTTGTTGTACATATTTTAAAAATTATTTGTTTTATTAATTTCTATATTTTAGAAAAGTCTTTCATTTTTATATCAAGCAGCTTGTCAGTTTAACACTATTGTTTACTGTATGAGTGTGCCTACAGAAACAATTGTTGATTTAAGAGCTCAAGTAAGTCAGAGATTGGTTGAATCAGGAGTATATGAACGGTACAGTTTACTTATTTAAAAATATAATTATTTTTATTAATACAGATTTAGTATTTTGTTATATTTGAATAAAAGGCTTCATGAATGTGGATGGTATTCGGATATGAAAAACCATGCTCTTTGTATTTAAAAATATTTATTATTATTACTAATCTTATTATTAGTTAAAGTACGTCATCAAGAGAAGCCTAATTTCGAAGATTTAGTAAAAGAAATTGAGCGGAAAGGCCTTGGTAAATACTATATTTGCAGCGTTTTTTAATATATTAAAGCTACTGTTCCTGAAGATCTTAAGATAGAGGTTCTTGGAATGATTAAAAAATTTCTAGAAGAAGTTGTAACAATAGAAGAGACTGATAACTATTAATTTTTCGATATGCATTGTTAAAGAATCACTGGTATATGAATATGTAGATTCTAAATTACATAAAATTTATCTTTAATGCAATGTAAAAATTTATTTAGTTTTTTATAGTTCTAATCTTTCAATAGAGTATTTTCCAACAAAAAAATTTTTTTGATAGCCTCTTGCTCTTTTTGTTTTTAAATGGTTTTCTTGTAAAGTTGATTTACTAGACAGTTGATTTGATAATGTTACAGCATGTGACCGAGTGTTTTTTTTAAGATTAATATTACTACTCTGATTTAATTTGAATTCCTGATATTTTTGATTAATATTCTTATGACCTCCAGCTCTACGAATAAGTTCATCTAACATGTTAATAATGTAATTTATATCCATTATTTCATTAATTGTTCTTTTCAAAATATCAAAAGTGACATTAAAAAAAGATGGTCTTATATTTTGTATAGTTATTCCACATATTCCTATAGTGTCTAAAGAATTTTCTAGCATTCTGTAAATAACTAATTCATCTCTAATATAAGATAGTTTTTTTAATTTTTTAGATTCTATTTTTAATATTTGTTTTCCTAACAGATTAATTAATTTTTCCATTTCGTTTCCTGCAAATTCTGTTTTTAATGCAGATACTATTTGCTCTTCTGTGTAATTATTCATCATTTTCAAAACTTTTTTGAAAATTTTCATGTCCATAGGATCCCTATTTAGAACATACTTTAATGCAGATGCCAATTCTCTTGGTGGTAATAGATCTGAACTTAAAAACAAATTTAATAATAATGATGAATCTAGAGTTACAATTGCATCTATAAAACCTGAAAATTCTGACTTTAATAATGACAATGGGGCTACCCTAATGAGATAATTAAGGGTTTTTTTAGGATAAAATAGTATTTGAAATTTCGCTGTTTTATTTGAATTGTGTATATCCTCTTTTTTTGCTGGTAGAAATATCATTTGAGTGATTTTTTCTAAAATTTGAGGCGATAGCTCAATTTTTCTACTTTGTGTATTGGATTTACTATAACTATTTTCCTTATTAAAGTTTTTATTTTGTAAATTGTTAGTAAATTTTTTTGTATTAAAGCATTTAAAAAAAAATATATCAAATTTATTACCATCTTTAAGTAAAGAATATTTCTTTAATTTTAATAAAAATGACTTGGTTAGTTTTTCCTGTTCTTTTAGATATTTTTTTGTTTTTTTGGGTGATTCTAGGACCAATACATTAGATCTTTTTCTTTCAAAACTTGTAACGGAGTTTATAACCATGAGATTAGATTTTTTTTTGTCTTCAACTTTTCCAAGCATATCAACTAGAAAACTATTTTTTGAAGATGAAATAGTAGATAAAATGACAAATTCTGTATTAGATAGAACTAATAAGGCATTTCGAAATTTTGATGATTCAGATGTATGTATAATTATGGGTGCTGTGTTTATATGTGTTACTTCTTTTGAAAAGAAAAATACTTGATATACAGCATCAAAAAGTAATATTTTATTTGTTGTACATATTATAATATGATGATTATGAAATATTTCCAAAAAAAAAGGAGTTGAAAGTTCTTTAGAAAATTTCGTTTTTGATTTAAACTCAATATTTGAAGATGTTAATATATACGTAAAAAGATGAGTTGATGTAAGATGATAAATAATGCATTTCTCAGTCAAGATAATTCTGTGATTTGTATCAAAATCCTTAAATATTATATATACATTTTAAATAATAAAAAAACGAATTACCATTGTCAATATTCCAGTGATTGTATTAAGTTTTGTGCATGTTGTTTCGCATATTTGAAAAATATTAATAATAATAATTCGTGAATTTTTTACTGAGATCTCATATACAATATCTTCTTCTTTACTTTCAATTGAAAAAATTTCATATGGTAATTTGACTTTAATTTGACCACAATGAACTATGTTTGAAATATCTGTTGAAACTTTACAAATAATATCCAGGTAGGAATTGTACTGAATAATCTCCCCTGATTCAAAGAATGAAATAATATAATCTTGTAGTAATTGAATGTTTATAACTTTGGACTCAATATTTATAAATTTAAATTGTAGTTCGTCTAAGTTGGATTTTTCGATCCATAAAAGTAATTTTTGGTACTTTGTATTTACTTCTACTGATCCAGCTATAGTTTTTCGTTTTTTATTGGTTTCTTCCCGTATAGAAATAGGTGCACATGAAAATTGTACATTTCCATTTACAGGATAATTTGTAATTATTTGACCTGAATCCGCCTATTTTAAGAATTAGAACTGTTACATCACAGAGGAACTATATTCTTACATCGTAGATGTTAATTCCTACTCCATTAATCGCTATTACTATTTCATGGTAACCTTTAGGAAAAACATTTGCGATTTGACATTGTCTATCAAATTTTGAGTTTATAGGATATGGAATCTTTGTAAGGAAATAAGGCTCTGAAATGGACCCCATATCATATTATAGAATAGTAATATATTTAAAATGTATGTTCATTTAATTTTAGATGAATTTACTTTTTGATTAAAAAAAATCGTCGATAAAAGTTTTAAAAGTTATTTTCATTTAATCTATTTAAAGAAATCAAGATCAATTTTTCTTTTTCTTAGACATATGTTTTATTTATATGCTCTATGTATTACAAGAAATATTATAAAAAAATAGAACTTATATTTATATATATTGATAAATAAATGAAATTTGAAGGATTTTGATATTCTTTTCTAATTTCTAGCTCTCAAATATTTGAATTAAATGATTTAAGGATAAGATATCAACATTAAATAATGTATTATAATTCTTTTAGATAATCTTCGAAATATTCATAAAGTATTTAAAAAAAAAAAAAGTAAATGTCTCAAATGTTTCTGTTAAATAATTAAATAAATATACATCTTGCATATGTATGATTCTTTGAAAAAAAAGGGAGACTAATTTGAAAAATATTTTTATATTGATTTTTTTGAAATTCGAAAGTATCTAAATATTATATATCTATAATTTTCGACTGTAATTATTTTAATTTTCAATTTTTTATAAAATATTAAAAAAACTATATACAAATCAATTTAAAGCTTATACTTCGAATTTCGTATCTTTATAGATGCTGTTTTTTTTTTGAAATTTGCATGTTTATGCTTAATAAGATATATAACAACATAAGAATAGTTTTTATCGAGTGTAAAAGAAACTTGCTTTAGAAATCAAGTGTTTTATTTAAATATCTTTTAGATATTATGTTTTATACCCTTAAACATAATTTCCAAAAAAAATAAGCTATTAAATATTATATTTATATACTTATAGTTTTGAAGACCTGTATTCCTGTAGAACTTGTACTTACGACACATCCCGGGATTTGATGATGCCAATGTGCTTCTTTGATATCTTTTCCTCCCATATGTATAAACATTAGTTGATTAGGTATATGGTCAAGATCGTCTGCTTCTTTTAAAGTTTGACATTCGTTATCCACCTCCACAGATAAATCCCATAATGAAACATGATTTTTATCTGATACTGAAATTACTGATTTTTCGGATGGATGCCACTCTATAGATGTTATGGGAGCTGTATGCCAGGAAAATGACGCAATAAATGATGGAATAGATGAACTATATTAGTTAATTTTAAATATTTTTAAAAAGAATACCTTTGAAATGTACGTAAATCCCATATATTAAACTTTCCATCATCTGCTCCTGTTGCCATTAAATATGATACATTTTTGTTCCAGCTAATAACATTTATATCTACGCCAGGGTGAAGATCAGTACTTAATGCGGGTTTGTGTTTTTTATTTCGTATATCCCATATTTTTACAGTTCCGTCAGTACTTGCACTTGCAAATACATTTTTCTCAGAAGGAGACCAGGCAAGATCTTCTACCGATGATATATGTCCTAAAAATGGTGTTTTTTCCGTAAACCATGAGGCTTCTGAAAGAGATGTTAAATAAATAAATCCATTATTGTCACCTGAAATAAGAGAATTATGCGATGATAATATATTCCAATCAATTGCATATCCTTCTATTTTATGATTTAAAACAGTATAGATAGGTGAATTACATTTTTTAGCAACAGATACACCAGGGTTATTAATTGATAATAAATGAGGCGCGATATCCCATATATGTACTTTTCCTGTTTCACTAAATGATGCAACAAAATAATTTTCGTTTTCCTTAAAAAATGCTCGAATGCGATTTGTAGTTCCAAAGGTAGGTAATGATCTATATTCAAGAATAGGATCTTCGTCTATATCGGAATCATTTGAATTAATTGAGTCATCTAACGTATTTGTTATAATTGTCAATGTATTTTTCCATACTTACCATCATATTGAGTTCTACACAAATGCGATAATTTCATAACAGTAATATTATTGTCTTTTTTAATATCTGCTTGAGTACCTGATACAAGATATACTGTTACAGGATACTTTAAGTTATAAGTGTCTTTATATGTTGTTATATATCTAATGCTTACATTAGTCATTAAACCTGAATTGTCCTTTAAAATATCAAAGCTTAAATATGGCCATTGAACATTGATAGAATGAAGCATTTCATATGCTGACTGATCTGGCTCAAGAATTTCGTCTTCTTTCAATGATCGAGAAGATGGAAGATATACTTTTACTTTCTCATTTATTGGATCTATATTAATTATTAGATATATATAATAATGAAAATTACCTTCATTAATATCTTCTTCTATATACTCTTCACTTTCTATTTCATCTTCCCATGGATCTTCAAATTCGCCTATATTATCTTCATTTTTTTCAATTACTGAAGACTTAATTATATTTTGAAAATGTGTATTTTCTTTAGAAGATTCTAATTTTTGTCGTTTGTGCATAATAATAAGTTTGTACTGATTTTTTTAAATATTTAACGATTTTTCATTAAAAAATTACGGTCAGAAAACGAAAGATTTGCGTAAAAAATATTTCATATTGATTAAGTTAAATATTCTAATAGCCTATGTAGGTATAGTCTGAAAGAATATTCTTTTCAGATTTCGGGTTATGAAGGAATCAGGGTTTCAAAAACCATGTATAAAGTCGTTTGAAAGATATTTGAAAATATATTTAAGGTTTATTAAAAAACATACATGGATTGGTTCCTTGTTACTTCTGGTATCGTCATACGTATTATATTTTTTAAGGGGAAAGGGTTTTAATGATTTTTTATATCCTTTTTTATTTTTATCATATCCTATTTCAGATACATTTCCACTGCAGTATGGAAAAGGATATAAAGATTTATGTTTTGTTACCTTTCATGTTGTTACTTTTATTTTTTTAAGGGATTTTTTAATGCATGTTTTGATTAAGCCTATTGGTCAAAGAATTAATATTAAAAAACGTAAATTAAAGCGTTTTATGGAACAAGGATATAGTTTATGTTATTTTTCAATGTCTTCTGTTCTTGGAATTGTAAAGTTTAACATATCTAAGATCGTTATACTGCTAACATAAATAGTATATTATGTCTCAAACTCGTATTTGGTATTTTAATGTTGATGCTTTTTATGATGGTTATCCACACAAGACACATAATATATATTTTAAGGCATATTATCTTCTTCAATTTTCTTATTGGATTCAACAAACATTTGTTTTGGTTCTGAAGCTTGAAAAACCTAGGAAAGATTTTAGAGAATTTGTAATTCATCATATTATAACGCTTATTCTTATTGGTTTGAGTTATCGATTTCATTTTACATATCTTGGTCTATCTGTATTCATTACTATGGATACTTCTGATGTTTTTTTGTCTGTAAGATTTTTTGCATTGTTTTTATCATGTCTAAGGTCTTAGTTATCAAAGTTAATGAATTATATACAATGTAAAGGACAAGCCCTGGTTTTTGGGTTTTTTATTCTTTTATGGATTTACGGGCGCCATTATTTGAATATTGTTTTCCTTTATTCTATTTTTACTAGTTTTAAACATATTGGTTCATTTGAATTATCATGGGAAAAAGGCCATTACAAATGTTGGATTAGCCAGATTATTACATTTATATTGTTATTGGCATTGCAAATTGTGAATATATTATGGCTAGTTCTGATTTTACGTATTGCATATCGCTTTGTTGTACATGGAGAGGCCAAAGATGATCGAAGTGATGAGTAAGTTTTTTTTATCTTTTTATATTTATTTAATATGATTTTTAGTGAGGATGAGAAATCGTTAACAAAAGAAAAAGGAGAGTAATTTTTTTTTTGATATTTTTATCATTTTATTATTTGTACAATATAAAGCATTTTTTGACCTTATTTTTGGAGTTATTTAATATAAACTTTATATGATATATTTATATTATATATAACATAATTAATTATCAAGTCTCCGTGGCGCAATTGGTTAGCGCGTTCGGCTGTTATTACATAAGTTACCGAGAGGCTGACAGTTCGAGCCTGTCCGGGGACGTTTAATGAACATTATTTTAAATTAGTATTCCTATTTTTTACAAATGTTTATATCTTTTTATAATAGAATCTTTTTTTTACTTCAATGTTTTTAATAAGATTTTTGTTTTTGAACAAATAACTTATTTTTTCCTCTAAAGTCTTATTAGTGTTTTTATTTTAATAAAGTATGCATCATTAGAAAATGTTTAAAACATTAGTGAATAATAATAGTTAATAGTTTGAAAGTAGTAAATTTGTTATTTTGAATATATATTATATAGAAATACAATCATAAAGCGAGTTCTCTGTAAAACAAGCACATATAAAACAAGATCTTTTAGGAAGCGAGTTAAATGTATATACATATAGGATATAAGAGTATAAAAATATTAGTAGATGGTTCTATAATTATAGAGTAAAGTGATATTTTTGAATCATTAGCATATTAATGGTTTTCTATTTTTGTCATTACTTGCGTGAAATTGTTAAATAACTAAGAATTATCGTTGAAGTTTATCGATTACACTAAAAAATGTATTTTTGAATTTAGATTTGAATCTATAATAAATAGCATACATTGAAGATAGGATATATGCATGAATAAAACGCATGTTTATATATGGATAAGTTATCTAAGAAGTGTGTATTATACGAAATGTCGCCTTTGGAGTCACCTGAAAGTGGCTGTTTTATAAAGGTAGCAGGAACTAAAGACTCTAATAATGAACCTTATCTATTTGGAAGGACTATGTTTGAAAATGAGATTATTGAAGATGATGCTCCACTGTTATTAAGTTTTTTAAAGAAATGTTTTACCGGGCAATGTGAACAAGAGTATTTATTAGGTATTTCTTAAAACTAGAGTGAATAGTCTTATTTTGATTTGATAGATGAAATTGATGTCCCTTTTGTTTATCAAAAAATGTTTACTCTTTTGTTTAAGAATGAGAAAGGAACATATTGTTTTTTACGGAAAATAGTTGAGCTTTCGGGACTCCCTGATTATGAAATTAAACATATTATAAATATGATGTTTTTTGGAATTACTGAGGATATGCCAATTTGTAAATGTCGTTTTTATTCAATTATTGCTTTGATTGGAATTGCTCAAAATGGAGAATGTGCAAGCGTTGAAGAATTGAAAAAATATAAAAATAGTATATATTTTATTTTTTCTATATGTTTTAAAGATATGTTCTAGATCTTCCTATTCCGAAGTTACAAGATATAATTGATAAATACCTTATATCCCCTGACGATAAAATATCTGATGCTAATGTTTCTTCATCTGACTCTGTTATGTCTTCCAAACAAACTATTATGTTTGAGTCTGGTTTTGAAAGGACAAATGATACTCAGAAACCTGTATCTTTGTATGTAGAAAATGTGTTAGATGTTCATGCATTCACCTTATATGATTTTAGGAATTCTGGTTTTATTGACTATAATGTTAATGAAAATTATTTTGAAAGTTTTTCTTCTCATAGAATTTTTAATATTATGGATTTGGCGCATTTTTTTTCTTCAGCTGATCGTATAACTATTTATATAGCTACTAAAAAAGAAGGTTCTTTTTTATTTAAACATGACAATTATGTTCTTTTTAGTGTAATTCGTGGTTCTCGTGTCATTCGCCGTTATAGTGATTTTTTATGGTAAATTTTGGATCTTCTATATGTCATTCATTTATGTATTTAGGCTTCAAGAGTGTTTGATAAAAAAATATCCTTTTCGTCAAGTACCTTTGATGCGTAATATCTATTTCTTTTTTTATTGTTAAAATTGACCACATTTTAGCACCAAAGTGTTTTTCTGGTACATCATTTTTCTATTCTGCTTAAGATCTTAGTTTATTTTAGTAAATGGTCATTATTTATCGAGAGATTCTGCCTTTTTAAAGAGAAGATATAAAGGACTTTCTAGATTTATCAATGCAGTTGTTCGTCATCCCATATTTAGAGATGATCCATTAGTAATAGCATTTCTCACTGTTTCTACTGTAGTTTTTTATTATTTATATTTTTAAATTTATATTTAATAGGAATTCTCTTTATGGAGAAAGCAAACTGTCTTATCAATTCACGATGAATTTCAAGATAAAATTATGATAGAGGACTTGGGATTGATGTTTCCTTCAAATTTTGATGAAATTATTATGAATATTAAAAAAACAATAGATTTTCAAATTTATAATTATACGTAAGTGGTATTTATTTATTGTAATCATTTAAATCCTGAAGGAAGTTATGTTTGATTATGGATCGTTTATTAAAATATCAAGAAAGTATTTTTATGGTATTATTTTTGTTAATATTGATAAATCTAGAATCTGCTGAAGATATGATGCTATTTGCATTTTGTTTGAAGTATAATTAAATGAATATAATGCATAGATATTAAAAAAGGTAGTGTTCTTGCTGATGGAACTAAGCCTGTTCTTATTGATGGGATAATTAATGATTCCTTCTCCTACATTAACAAAGGGACGTTTGTTGTATCTAAACATTTTTTAACGGCACAGGAATTTTTGGAGGAAGAAGCTAAAGTTTTGAGTGAAGGGATACTAGAAGATTTAAAATCCCAGAGGGATAACCTTATAGCAATTAAAGTGGGTCATAATTTGCATATCATTTTCTAATGATTTAAAGAATATGTTTGATAGAAAAGATAAGTTAGATATCAACAATATTCCTTTTCTTGAGAAAAGAATAAATAGCAACGTGAATAAACTTGCTGATTTGAATACAAGATCTCATTTAAATTCATTATCCAGGGATGAAATTGAACAGTCTATTATGAAGGTATATTCTCCTCTTAATTGTTTTAAATCTAAAAAAATAAGGACAAAAAATTGATACTTTCTCAACAGTCTCGTTGCTTTTCTATTAATAAATGTATTTTAAATGAGTTAGTATATTTCCAGATTAGTCAAGCTCATATAGGGAAATTATATAAGGATTATGTGCAAGAGCGCATAAAATATACTGAGTTGTTAGCAGAAAATTGGAGAAGTATGGAAATTCAAATAACATCTATTCCTTTTGGATTTGTCTAAAGTTTATTTAAAGTATAATCAATATTTGTTTAGTTTATACTTGAATTCGATACTATCTGTTGTATGTAAACTATATTTGTATGCTTCAGTATGATATAATTATTTATATCAGATTAAAAAGAAAGTTTACATTGAGAATAACTAGAATTTATGAAATATATTCCAATCATAGACTTATTTAATATTGTATTTGGAATTCAATTTGGATATAGTTATAAGTTTTCTATTGCTTTACATGGAAATTCTATATCATAATCTATCATAATGCATCTTCGAATGTACTAAATATATCGGATTCTTTTTTAGTTTTTTGAGTAAAATTAAAAGGTTGATTTAAGGTGGTGGGATTTTTGATTTGTTTTAGCATAAAAACTGAATTCTTTAGTATATAAAAAATATATGTGGTTTATACTAGGGTTTTTTTCATCCTTTTGTAATTTCTGAAATAGTAATAAAGGTTTTTCATTAAGTTCTATGTATCTTTCTGAAAAAAATATTAAAAAACGCCCAAAAATGAAAAAAAATACCTTTGTCATCATAACATAAAACTAATGCATACTCTTTCCAGTCAGAACTTATTTTATATTCCTTTAATGCTGCAAGTAAAACTTTTCTACATGAATCATTTAATTTAACACGAAAGGATTTGAACATTTCTATGCTTTTGTGCGACTTCTTAGAACTTACTGGGGATACACATTCATCAGTCATAACATATTCACTTTTAGTTTGGTTAGAATTGTTTTGATTCATTTCAAATTCTAGGTTATCTTGTATACTATGTATTAATTGCTAAAAGGTTTAGTTATGAAATATATATGCAATTTTCTTACATTTTTATAAGTCTCTGTTGGAAACGTTGGCGAATCAAGCTCAGAATCTAGTTGTATGGGTGATATCTGAGAATGTGTAGGTGTAGTTTTTAATTGTAATGTGTTTTCATGAAATTTTTTAAGTGATAAATCATTATTAGTAACCTCAGTATCCGATTTTTCAAGTGGCTGTTTCTTTTTAAAATGCTGGATCTAGATAGTTCTGGAAATTTACCTTTATATGTTTGATAATTTTAAAAATATAAATTATATCTTCTTGAATTTTGGATAAATCTTTTTTTATATTTTTTATTTCCTTCTCGAATTCATTTAAATGTTTCCCTGGGAATTATTAAAATATAATTGTTCAAATGTATAAATATTATTATAATACCATATGAAAGGACAGCTTGCGTTAATTCTTCCGTTTTGTTAATTTCTGATTTACCATATTCAGAAAGTCTCTCCATTTCTAGCGCTTTAAACATTCAATTTTTGTTTTAAAAATAATAATAGTTGCTTACAGATGGGTATATAATGCTCTGGTTCAATAGGAATATTTTGATCAATTTTGATACGATATATTGCTTTAAGAAAGCTAAGTCGATGGCCTGTACTCGAAATTCCTATTTCTTTAAGTGATTCATGGTTTAAGTGTATTAGAATATCTCCAGATATATTATTTTCTGCAAAATTTTAGGAAATTTTTGTAAGTATTAAAATAATAAACCTTCAAATTCTTTTTCATACTGAGAAAAATTTATATGCTTTAACCATTGAATAACATCCTCTACGCTCCATGATGTGATCGTTTTTTCTAGAAGTCCAAAAGAACTCATTTTTAGTTTTATTTTTTAACTAGTTTTTTAAAAATATAAAATATTTTTTAGAAGTCTTTTTTTGAATTCTGAATCCCTATTTTAATATAATTTGATTAGATAATGTGTTTTTTATATTATTTAATAAATATTTTTCTGATTATTTTATTTTAAATTAGTTTCATTTTTTAAATGTAATGTTTTTACGTTTGTAATTTGTTAGATTATAAAAAAAATAATAATGTAAATCAAAAAATAGGGTTATATATATATTAATCTGTCTAATTATTTAGACTTTTTAAAATATAAATAAATGTACTTAACATTCCAGAGATTCTAGGAAATAACAGGAAGATATTAAATAAACAATATTTCGAAACAGCAAAAATCATTAGTGCTTTTATATAAAGCTTGGTTATTTTTTTCTTCTATATTTCTCCTTTATTTTTGAATGTTTTGATGAAATTATGGAGGAAAATGACTCTTGTGAATCTTCTAAAACATTGCTAGAAGCAGATACTCAGTATTTGCAATCGGAATATAACCTTATTTCAAGAAATAAACATTTGCATGTAAACCAATCTTTTAATAATTTAGAAAATATAGAGTTTTCTAATGAATCGTCTTTTTCTACATCTTCAATTGATTCAGATTTTCATAAAATTGCATATCAGAAACAGTCAATTGGTTCTATAGAATCAAAATGTCAAGCAACTTTAACTCTTTCTTCGGTTCAGTCGTTTAAAGAAAATAAAGAAGGTAATATTTCTGAAAAAAATGGGAATTTTTCTTTATTTGATTATAGAAATGTGTTCCTCTCAAGAATTTAATGATTCTGGTTATTGTGAAGATTCATATATATCTTTACGTGTTCCGCCATTTTTTAGATTAACTAGTTTTCAGAAAGAAAATGAAGTTAAAAGGCTTTTAGTTTATAAAAATCCTAGCAAAATTGTAAAATTAAAGGTTGCACCAAGGTCTTTTTTGCAAAAATCATCTCATTCTTTTTTCGTTAAAAATCCGAGTAATTTTTTATTGTTTTTTGTAGTTTATTAACTGTTTTGAAGGGAATTTTATTAAAGATATAAAATTGTTTGGTCAAGATTCTGTTTCTGCAAAAAAGACTTCAGTAAATTATGATAGTATGTTTTTATTATACTTTTTGATGTTTATTAAATATATATATTAGATTTAAAATCTATTCACCCTTTTTTTCTATCAAAAACATTAAATAGCTATGTTCCTATTTCTTTAATTAATACAAAAGTACCTCATAGATTTAATTCGAAATTATTTATTATTGAAGCAGCACCGTGGCCTACTGCTAAAAATACACATGTTAAGGATTATTATAATGAAATAGTTCTTAAAGATACGTCTTTATTCAAAGGGAAAAAAGGTATTAGAAAAAAAGAAAGTTTTTTTGAGGATTATTATTTAGAAAGATATGCCTTATTATTTGGTCGTGAAAAACCTATTTTAAAGAAGAGTTTTTTTTATTTTAGCAAGTTGTTTTATACTTTAGATGATCTTAAATCTCTGGTTGCTTCTATTATTCCTTATGATGATTTGAAACGTCCATGTTTCGATAAGATATATAAAAGCTTAGATAACAAGTTTCTTTCTTCTAATTTTTATGATGTGAGGCTTTGGATTTCTAAATACTCTCCAACTAGGGCTTGTGAGGTTCTTTTTTCCGAATATGAGGTTATGAAACTTCGAGATTGGTTGACAGCTTGCAAACTTGGATCAAATACTATTAAGATATCATGTGTTATTGCATCTCCGAAAAAACATATGTTAGAAAAAAATCAGCAGATATGTTTAGATCAATTTATAAATTATGGGACTGGTAGTAGAAATCCTAAGTCATTTTTAGATGGTATTAATGGTGTTTTTTGATTTGAAATGAATGATTAGTTTTTAATTTCTGATATTCTTAGAATTTAGAACATTAATGAACCGTCAAAAAAAGTTATATACTAAATCTCAAGTTTCTTTTGCACGTTATATATTGTTAACGGGCCCACATGGTAGTTACAAAAGTGCTAGTGTATATGCTATAGCAAAAGAATTAGGTTTTGAGATATTTGAAATTAATTCTGGCTCAAGAAGGAGTGGCAAGGATATTCTTGATTTAGTTGGTGAAATGAGTCAGAGTCATTTAGTTGATGGAGAAAAAGTTAGTAATTTTAATAAATCATGTTTTAAAACTAAATTGGATATGTCGTTTCGAAAACAAAGCTTAATATTGATTGAAGAAGTTGATATTCTTTATGAAGAAGATAGAAATTTTTGGGATACTGTTATGAATCTTGTTTATAAGTCAAAACGTCCTATTATAATGACTTGTACAGGTAGTTCCTTAAGTTCTATTATTATTATTAAGTAATCATTAGATATTAATACAATACCTGGGTTTTTTCTTGAATTTCAATCAATAATTTATTTTAGTACTGCTCCAGCAGATCTCGCTGCTAATTATTTATATTTACTTTCTCTTTCTGAAGGATATATTTTCAGCAAAGAAGATCTAATGCTCCTTTATATAAGTAAAGGATGTGATTTAAGAGCATCAATTCTTCAGTTGCAATTTTTTACTCAGATAGGCAGGTATAGATCATCTGAGTTGATACAGGATATAGACATGCCTATCTCAAATACTTCTTTCAAAAAAATTGTTTTTGAAAATATGTTTCTGTCTTCTACAGAATGGTCAAATGATTTTTGTGAATTATTAGAGACAGAAACTTTTGTAGGGAATAGAAAGCATTTAGATTTGATTGATGATATATTTAAAAATAGTCTGGAAAATATTAAATTAAAGGATTCCTCTCAAATTCATGGAGAAATCGAGAAAGAAAAATTATTTTTAGACGTTCATTCCGATTTTTTAGATACAATGTCATTTTGTGATTATTTATCTAATAAAACTTCTTTTCGATGCTCAGTTAAAGTAATGTTCTATGAAAGTTTCTTTATTGCGTAATAATTAGTTTAGGAAGTAGATTTGTTTAATTCTGATAGTTTGTCTTCTGATACTCGTCAATACCATCTTGATAATCTTCTTGGGTATGACTTTTTACCTTCATATAGAGCTCATTATACTGTTTATCAACCAGGTTATATTCATATATCTTTAGCCATTTTTACTATGTCATGTTTTATTTTCTCCAATAAACTTAATGACACTGATTTAGATACATTAAACATTTGCCAATATGTTTCTAATGCTGAGTCTTTACGTATCGTATTAAAGAAGCGTTATGGGGTTAATGTGAAAGAGCTAAATATTGATAGTTTAAAAGTTGTTTTTTCTCCTTTGTTATTCTCAAATATATGGAATTATAATACTATTCCCAATTCGATTAATGCATTAAGTGGATTTTCTCTCTCAGTTGATATCGGTCCATATATCAGAGATATTATAAGATTTTATAAATTATATAAAAGAAAAAAAGATACTGATGATAGTGACAAGAGAACTACTAGAAGCTCGCGTATTCTAAATTGCAATTTGAGGAAATTAAATAAATATAATATAAAAGATGAAAAGGCTATCCTTGATACATGGATAGAATAATTGATATTTATGTAAATAAACTGTTTTGATACAAAATGCGAATTACTAGAAAGATTAGTATAAATTTTAATAATGTAGTTGTGAGAAATAGCATCTCAGTACTATAAAATTCAAGAATTTTAAATATGAGTTGGAATTTATATAGGAGGAAGTCTACGATATGTTAGAATATGATATTAGAGTAAAGCTATCTTACGAATGCCTACACACTAAAAAGGTTATTTAAATATATTATTTAAAGAAGGTTTATACCTGGGCAAATTAGGCGAACTCTCATCCATCTTTCTAAGCAATTTGTATGAAATAAATGTTTGCAGGGTGTAACCTTTATCGATTATAATTGTAAACAAATAAGAGATATAATTTACCATATACGATCTTCTTCCTAAAATTAATGATGCGTTATTTGCAGAATTTTTATTAATACTTGGTAATGATATATTTTGGATGCATATAGAACAAATTGCACGCCCATCAGAATCGAAATATGATGATGCAGTTTCGACATCTTCTGAAAGTATTGGATGATAATTATATGTCGGACGCAAAAGCTAACATAAATATTATCAAGGATTATTTTAGAAATTCTTACATTAGAAGGTATAAAGAAACGTGGACCGAAAAAATCCTGAGTAGCTAGAAGGAAAACTTGAAACCATAGCCAACCAAAAACTCCCCACGTTATATAAAGATTCGTTGGGATAAATAATATATTTTTTGGATATGAAAATAAATAAATAATAGGAATAACCCTAGTAATAGTCATTCCAATCACGTATGACCAGAGAAATGGTCGTCTATATCCTTTTAAACTGTTCCGTATGATTTGAGGCCACCAGAATGAAAATGCTATAAATGTGATAGTATATATAATATATTTCCTTTTATTAGCTGGCAATAACATTATTTGCGGAAAAATTAACACCATTATGAGAAGAAAGAGATAAAATTGAGTATATATTGTACTGATATCATTATGATTATCATATTGGTCTTGTCTAGTTCTATTTGTCTGATTCTGATTTATGTAGTCTTGCTGATTTGACATAACTGTTTCTTCATTTATTTCGCTATGGTCGCGTCTTTCTGTAACAGTTGCCCTATTTTCAGGTTGTTGTATACGATGAATAATAAGCAAATATCGCATTCCAAATATTGCAACAAGAGTAAATGAAAGAAACGAAGTAGTAATAGAAGAAAGAAATATACTATTATGTGATATAGAAGCCGATAGGAAAATCATACAAGTATATCCATCCAAAGATGCCTGTATCCAAATACTCCAAAATGATATTCTAGAAATGCTCTATGCTTTATTAGTAATATGTATTTTTATTTAAGATAAATTCACTGATGGTGTCGACGTTTCATTCATTTGTTTTATGAGTAAATAAATTTGTATAATAATTAGAAGATTTTGAAAGAATGCTATCTTGTTAATGTTTGCATAATATTTTTCTTTTTTAATGCCAGTGATATTATCAAAATCCAATGAAAATTTACAGTCAGGAGACATAATAATTCCGGAAAGCAAAATAGGAGGTACTAGAGAGTAAGGAAGACCATTTGGTGTTTGAAGTTCTTTTTCTATTTCTTCTAACTTAGGCTCTTTATTGTTATGGATGGGAAGAAGTTGTAAATAAACAACGAAGTCGCAATATTCATTACTGTCATTAGGAATCTGAATTTTCCTGTTTTTAGGTATACTATCTTGTAACTGCTTTATTTGTTGTTCTAAAATCTGAGTTATTGATTTAAGTGAGCTTTGAAATGTGAAATTATTAAATGCAAAAAGTGGAATTGTTATAAGACTTGGGAACTTATGTGATGATGATGTAAGTATTAATGAGCCATTGTTTTTAAAATGAATTCCTTTAAGATCAATATTTCTATATAAGTTGCCAATTTCATCTTGAATTGATAGAGTTGCATCTGTTATTTGGTTATCATTAAATATAGACTCCTCTAAAATTATGCTTAATAGTCCTCTATTATATGATAGTATTTTTTTAAAATCTTGTGCATATTTTGGAATTAACGTGTCATTTGGATGAATGAAAAATTTATTCCATTTGCCGTGTATATAACCAGTAATATTATGATATAAATTTTCCTCTTCACCAATCCCTTTAGAAAATAATAATTTTCTCTTTTTTAATATAATATCTGGAATAGTTATATCAACCTGTTAAAAATAATTAGTACATATTTTGGTTTTTTTTAATATGTACATCAGTAATATTAGCTTGAATTCCCAGAGTCAAGTTTTTCATGGCCATTCTTTTTACTTTAGTAATTTTTTAAAACTTTTTCAAATATACTTACAAATGTCTTTTTTTTTCGTTAATAACTTCATCAACTGTTGCTTGATGATATGAATTTGTATAATTTGGTATCAATAAAATAAGGAAAACGATAAAAAATAGCCATTTGAGATAATTTATATTTCTTAACATCGTCTAAACGCAATAATTCTTTGTTATCTCTTCATTCTATACAGTATCTGGCTATTAGAAATATTAAATTTGTAATATTTATTTTTAAATTTTAAATTTTACGGGTTTAATATATACAATATTTTTTTATTTTATATTGGTTTTTTAAGAGGAATATTTGGTATATGTGGCCTATTATTGCGGTATTTTCCTTTAAAAATAATTTAAAATAAAATCATTTATAATTAGGAATTAAGGATATTTTATCTTTAAGTATGTGTAGTAAATTGTAATATAAAATTTGTTTTGATGATTTTTTGTAGAGATGTAGTTGAAAATTTTGATTTTCTTTGGCAACTTCTTAGAAAGAAGACATTGGTGGAAGGAGTTTCATAAGGAAATTAGTAAAAATGGTAGTATTTTACGTTGGTGTAAAAACATATAATATCTTATATTTATAATTGATTTTGCATTTCTTAGGAAAGGTTATCATTTTAGACTTGATTATAATAACATCCTATTAGCATTCTGTCCATATTCTAATAAAGTTAAATATCTTTGAAAATGTATAATTTTGGACGTATTGTTTGGGCATATTCGATTCTTAATTTTGAAAATTATTTGAGATATGTAAAGGATGGTTGTTACATGTTTTACATCTAATGAAAACTGTTTTTTGGAAACTTGCTATAAGTTTATGTTTGTTTTATATATATTATTTTTGACTGTTATTGAATCAGGGTAGGTTTGCTAAGTATTCTCATAATGGTAAAGCACAAGTATTGGTTTTTTCATTCCTATAAAAAGATATTCTTCTAATAAGAGTTCAAATATTGCTCTTTATGAAAATAATGTTATTTAATATCGGAGTAGTTTAAGCAACCTTCTTAAAATTGTTTCATTTATTTTTTTTGTGTCAATATTTTGAAAATTGTTTTTGGATCTAATTGTTATGCTATATTTAGAAATGTTGGAATTGTTGTTTTAAATGAATTTGGTTTAAATTTTCATGATAATAATAATGATTCATTCTTTATATATTTATCTGGGACTACGGTCATTTTTAGAACATTTAATTATAGCGAATTTGTTCTTAAATATATAGTTAGTGAATGATTTTTGGTATATATTGCGGAATTTGGGAATGTATTTAAAGTAAATTTATTATTCAAGGATGTTACTATGTAAGGTAGTGCAATTTCTCAAGGATCTATTTTTAACATAGATTGTGCGACTCATATTTCTTGTTTTTATTAGAATTTTATTGTCTTCAGTTACAATGATATAATACTAATTAGTATTAATAAAGCAATTTTATTAATAGTTTTCCGATAATTATTTCACGGCTTCAGAATTGTAATGTTATATTAATTGCATATGGAAATCATGGTTTTGTGCTTTATGATGATAAGAAATTGTTATTATGGGATAAAGAGCTACATGAATGTGGTGTTTGAGGAAAGGACAACCTGAATAAGTTTGAAAAAGAGGCTACCTGCAGAAAATAATGAACTTGCAATCTTAATTCTTAAGTTATTGATATTTATAAATTCCTTTACTTCATATTTTTGGAAGTTGCCGAAGGAGACATTAACTGTTGATAGTAATAAAAAGAAAAAAAAATATCAAATATATTGTTGATTTTTTATCATTTCCCCTATAATTTTTTTAATTTAGAATGATAAAACAGTTATATTCTAAAAGTTCTTGATTTCTAGTTGTTAGATATAATATTAATACATTATAGAAAATATTTTGTAAATTTTATTTTTTTTATTTTATATTTTTTAATAAGTTTATAAAACCAATGTTAATATAAGTTATAATGTTGTTTAAAACTGTATATTAAGTGTATTGTAGATATATTATTGATATGTATTTTTTTTTAAAAATGGTTTTCGAAATTACGCCTTTTTTATAAAAATTAGATTTTGAAGAAATTCTAGATTCTAGCTTTCTCAATAAGAATAAATCAGAATATTGTCTCTATTTAAATATATCTGGTATTTTGTTTTCTATTTACGTTAGCAACAGTGTATACGGATCAATTAAAAAGAACGTTTCCAAATAGTTGCAGAAATTATTTTACATATTTTTTTATTAGGCGCTTAAAAATTACTTCTATTTTGTTTATGTTTCAGCAATCACAAGAAAAACACCATCAGAAAATTATTTATGCTCCTAGATCATATATTTCAAAAATATCTGATTTTAAACAAACTAAATTGCAACTTATGGGGAATAATACGACATCTAATTATACGAAATTAGGGCCTTTAAAACCAGTAGATGCGTCTAGTCTCAATATTCATCCAATATCTGTAACTCATGAATCCTCTATTTTTAATAATATTCTCATGATATTAAGAAAAATCAGAAGCCTAGTTCTTCAAGCATAAAGTTTCTTGAAATATTGAATCAACAAAATAAAGGGACAGGTGCTAATATTTTTCAGAAAAGTACGAGCAATGAGAATTTTATTGATGATTTACATGTTAATGAAAATGATATCGATGATAAATTAAACTTAGACTCTGAACATGACGAATCTTTCTATTCTTGGTCATCCTCTCCAATGGAATATCAACATCTGGCTTTATCTGGACTTAAAGATCAGTTCAACAATGAATGTCAATCTTCTGATACTATATTTCAACCTAAATTGTCTAATACGACTTTATTTGAAGAGATTATTTGTGAAACAGAAGTATCTAATTCCTTAGATTCATTAGAAATAGATTCAGGGAATCCTAAAGATTTAAAGAATAGTGCTTTAAAAGGTAGGATTTTTTTGATAATCAAAATTATATTTCATTTACATTAGTTTTAGAAAATCATTCTGCGTTACAGGTAGGTCAGAAAAATGAACAGTTTCAGGATTCCAGGAGAATTCCTTTTTTAAATAAGGCTGAAGATCATATTGAACTTGTTAAATCTGAAATGAAAACTCGTAAAAGAATTTCATCTGATATATTAAATAAATCAGATATTCATAAAATTGATAATATTCAAAATTTTAAATTTGAATCTAAAGATATTCAGAAAAAACCTATACAACAAAAAAAAAATAAAAAGCTTCCAGGTCTTTTTCTTTCTGAGGAACAAAAAACTGTTCTTAAGATTATTGTTGAAGAACGTGAAAGTATTTTTTTTACTGGATCTGCTGGTTAGTGTATGATTTTTGTATCATTTTATTTAGTATTCAGGTACTGGGAAATCTGTACTTTTGAGAGAAATTATTGCCTCGCTTCGCAAGAAATATGCTAAGGAGCCCGATCGTGTTGCTATTACTGCTTCAACAGGTCTTGCTGCATGCAATATTGGTGGTGTCACTCTTCATTCTTATGCTGGTATTGGCTTAGGTAGAGATTCTTGGGAAGATCTATGTAAAAAAATCAGGAAAAATAAGAAATGTTTATCTAGATGGTTAAGGACTAAAGTTCTTATTATTGATGAGAGTAGGCTAAATATATATATATTTATGTTAGCTTAACTATATGAGTTTCAATGGTAGATGCTGAGTTATTTGATAAGCTTGAAAATATTGCTAGGAAAATAAGAAATAATGAAAATCCATTTGGTGGAATTCAGGTATTAGATATTATTTATTTGTTTTTATTATCTTTGATATATGAAATCATAGATGATTGTAACTGGTGATTTCTTTCAGCTTCCTCCTGTACCTGATCAAGGAAAAATCTCTAAATTCGCTTTTGAAGCCAAAAAGTGGAAGGATGTTATTTCTCATACTATAGCATTGACTCATGTTTTTCGTCAAAAGGACCAAGGTATCTATTAAATATGGTCTTTTTATTTTGTGCTTTAGTAATTACGCGTTTTTAGATTTTGTTGAAATGCTTAATGAATTGCGTTTGGGGCGTTTGTCTTATAATTCTATTAGTAAATTTCGTTCTTTAGATAGGGAACTTCAATTTGATGATGGTCTTGAACCTACAGAGCTGTAAGTAAATCTTTTAGGTATTTTATTATGCTTAGATAGAAGGTTTCCTACACGCAATGAAGTTGATCAGGCAAATGCAACTCGTATGCGTTCTCTTAGTGGTGCTTTGCGGACATTTGAAGCATTGGATTCTGGAACTGTTGATAAAGTTCAGAGAGATAAATTACTTTCTAGTTGTATGGCACCAGCCCGAATAGATCTTAAAGAAGGCGCACAAGTAATGTTAATAAAAAATTTTGATGATCAATTGGTAAATGGATCGCTGGGAAAAGTTATAGGGTTTATGAATGAAAAAACATTCCAAATATGGCAAGAGGATGAGCCTGATGATGATCCATTTAATTATCATGAGCAAATTGATGATTCTAATATTGATGAAATAAAAAAGCGTAAAAAGAGAAGAATAGCAAAAATGCAATCAGCTGCAGCTACTGGGAAATTGTGGCCTCTTGTTAGATTTACATTGTCTAATGGCTTAACCCGAGATATGTTAGTACAACCTGAGCAATGGAAAATAGAGCTTCCAAATGGTGAAGTGCAGGCGAGTCGTTCTCAAATACCACTTATTTTGGCCTACGCAATTAGTATTCATAAGGCTCAGGGACAGACTTTAGAAAGAGTTAAGGTTGATTTAGGAAGAGTTTTTGAAAAAGGACAAGCGTTGGTTTAAGATTATTTTATATAATTTATTAAATTTGATTTTAGTTATGTTGCTTTGTCTCGTGCTACGTCCCAAAAAGGTCTTCAGGTTTTGCACTTTGAAGCTCGAAAAGTGATGGCTCATCCTAAAGTAAGTTTATTCTATAAAAGTAATTTATCAAGATATTTCATTCTGATATTTCTAATTTTTTATTAGGTCTTGTAAATACTGGAGACTTAAAAAGAAAAACTAATATTAGCTCTAACTTTAATAAAGAAAAAAATATAGATGATTTTTCAAAGAATTATGTGGATTAGTATGTTTTAAGAAAAATTGCATTTATGATGATGTATTATTAATTATAAATAAATTTTATAGTATTTTATTTGATAGTGTTTTTTAGAGTAGAAATAAGGGAATATAAAAAGACAGAAGTTTAAAAAAAGTATTTTTAAAAAAAATATATTTTTTATTGATTTTAAGTTACGATAAATCTTAAATAGCAAAATATTAGGAATGATATTAGAATCAGGAATTAAGAAATACTTTATAATCTTTAGACCTCTATAATGTCCAAGAAAAGTATTGGAATAGTTGATTTTAAGAAGTTCTATGGACTTACTTTAAGAAATGGGCTTTTTGTTCAAGCTAATTCATTAATAATTCGACAACGTTATTTTCAATTATCTTTGAAATTTAAATGTTATAATGAGATGAGAATGATATCTAGTTTAAATCAGAATTCTCAGAAAGTTTTTTTTTTCAAAAGAAATAGATTTTTAGGAAAAATTAAGAAATTTACATATATTTTAATAATTTTAGGCTTAATAAAATTTTCATATGGTAATTATTATATATTTTGTAAGAATGACTAGAATTTCTATAGATATTTATGAATTGCGTTCTCCTATGCCTTTTGTAGAACTAGATCCTAACAAAAAAACTATAGTAGTTCTTGGAAGTGGATGGGGAAGCATTTCTTTGCTAAAAAATATTAAGTCAGATGATTATAATATTATTGTTGTTTCCCCTAGGAATTATTTCCTTTTTACACGTAAGTTCTTTTAAAAAAGTTTCTTTTTTTATATTTTAATAGCATTTCTTGTAAGCTGTACAACAGGAACTACTGAATTTCGTTCTATTATAGAACCTATTAGATTTATAATGTTTCGTAAAAAAGCATATTTTAGGTTTTATGAAGCTAGTTGTACCAGCATTGATCCCAATGATAAAACTATTATAATAAAAGAATTTTCTGGTGTTCATAACGATGTTGTTGAAACGAAATTATCTTATGATTATCTTGTTATTGGTGTGGGTGCAGAAAATCAAACTTTCGGAATTTCTGGTGTTAATCAATATGCTAATTTCTTAAAAGAAATTCCGGATGCTAGAAAAATAAGAGCAAAGATTATGGAATGCATTAAAGCTGCTATGTTTGAAGGACAAACATATGAAGAAAAAAAGCGTTTATTGCATATGGTTATTGTAGGAGGAGGACCTACTGGTGTTGAATTTGCAGCTGAATTACGTGATTTTTTTCAAATGGATTTAAAAAAATGGTTTCCAGGTATGTTAATAATTGTTAAGTTTAATAATTTAAAATAATATTAGAAATATCAAATTTATTTAAAATTAGTCTTTTTGAGGCTCTTCCTTCTGTAAGTGTTTATAATATTCTTATGTTTGTTCTTATTGTTTAGATTCTTCCTATGTTTTCAAAGACTTTAGTAAATGTAATGGCATTATTTATATTTTTTAGTTGTTTATCTTACCGTTTTTATTAGTATACTGAAGCTACTTTTAGGGAGGGAGATATTGGAGTATTTACTAGAAGCACAGTAAAAAGTGTAACTGGTATTTATTTGGTTTTACAATAGTTTATATTTCTGATTATTTAGATAAATATATTACTGTTGAAACAACCACGTCTGATAATAAAAAAATTATCCAAGAAGTTCCATATGGATTACTTGTTTGGGCTACAGGGAATTCTCCAAGATATGGTACTATTAATGAATTTAAAAAATATATTGTTTTAATGGTTTAGTTATCAAGGATTTGATGTCTAGAATTCCTGAGCAAAGTAATAGTTCTAGAGGCTTATTAGTTAATGATTATTTGGTTGTAAAAGGAACGGAAAATATTTGGTATTTAGATAAAATAGTGTTCTATAAATTAACTTATTTTAGGGCACTTGGAGATTGTACTGCTACTAAATATGCTTCTACTGCTCAGGGTATTTTTTATTTTAGTTGGATATTATTTTAAACATTTTTAGTTGCATCTCAACAAGGATATTATCTTGCTAAACTTTTTGATATCTTAGCAGAATCTCGAAAAGCTAGAAAAGAAATTCAGTACCTTGAAAATTTACTAAAAGCTAATAATATCGATTTTGAAAAAGAAAATATGATAAAAAAAGACATTGATATTAAAATAAAGAAATTGAAAGGGCTTTCCATTCCATTATTTGAATATTCTCATAAAGGAACTCTTGCGTAAGTTAAACTTTTTATGAGGATTCGAGCTCATAACTTTAGATATATTGGAAATGATAAAGCAATTGCAGATCTTTCATTCTCAAAGGGGAATTTTTCTATATTTGGAATAACAGCGTTTTTATTTTGGAGGTTCAGTAAATATTTAATTAATTCTTGTATTTATTTTTTTTAGATCCGTTTATATAAATATGCTTTTCTGTAATTATATTTATTTGTTATAATATTTATTTTAAATTATGATAGTAAGAAATAAAGTTTATGTTTGTTTCGATTGGATTAAAGCTTCTGTTTTCGGGAGGTAAGAGGTCTTAAGATATAATATTTTCTTAATTATCTATAGAGATTTGAGCAGTTTTTGATTTATTTAGATTTGTCTATTGAGATTTTGATCTCACATTTTAATAAATATACTAGCAAAATGATATGCTTTCGTTTATGAATTCGTTTTATATAAAATCTTTTAATTAGATTACAAAATACTTGCATTCGTTTTTAATGTTAAAATGTTTTTATTAAAAATATTATTTATTATTGTTTAAATTATTATGGTAGCTCAAATAATTAATATTAAAATTATTTATATGTATTATTTGAATTTTTTATGGATTTTTAAATCACTTCTATTAATAAATAGTTAAAATTTGAATTGATGTATTTTTATTTTAAAATTGATTTTTTAAAAAATATTATTCAAAGTATTAGAGTAGCATATTTCTAATAAGATGATAATAAAAAAGTAAATTTTTGATATTTTTATATATAGAATATATTCTTGATAAAAAAATTTTGAAAATATTTTTAATAAATATTATGTTTTAAGACATAGAAGTACATATAAATTATATAAAATAGTGGCAAAGAATTCGAGATTAATTTAATGTTATAATTACATGTTTGAATTTTATCTTCTCGGTGGAGATATTAAAATTACTGAATCTCCACGTATCTAAATATTAACGTTTAATAATAAGAAATAAAGAAATCTACATACAAATATCATTTCTGAGTGTGTTTTTCTAGTCTATGTTCGTTATTTTATTTTTTTTTTATAAGTTATTAAATACATTAATATGCTCTTCAGCTTCATCGTCAATATCAATTGTATAAACTGTTTCTTCTGCATCACTTAAAACCATATTAAGATGACTGTCATAGGCCTATTCACAAAAATATAATGTATATGTTTTTTATAACATATTAGCACCTACATGTAATTTTCCCTTTATTTCTCTGTCTCCTCGTAATTTGACGTAAACTCTTTCATCTAAGGAAAGTCTAATAAGATCTAAAGGCTCTGAAACCTATAGCTGTTGTAGTATTTGTTTTTCCTTATAGAGAGGTCTTACTGATGTGTTATCCGTTTTAATTCCAATATCATTCATTATTAGTTTTATAAACTATCGATTAAAAATAAAATTTTTAGTGATGTTCATTTAAAGAGTTTAAGATTAATAAAATAGTTCATATGTTTTATGCTGTGAGGTTGTTTTTCAATTGTAATTTTCTTAGTAGAAATATTTCTTTTCTCGCATCTCTTACTAATAATCCATTATCAATTAAAAAGGTAGTTTTCAAACTTTTTATTAATTTTACAATAATTGTCCTAGGTTAAACGAGTTGGAAGGGGGCCTTCATCTGGGAAAGGGAAAACATGTGGAAGGGGACATAAAGGTCAAAAGGCTAGGAGTGGAAATAATAGAGTTAAACCTGGATTTGAAGGTGGACAGACACCTCTCACTAGATTGTATCCAAAACGTGGATTTGTAAATGTGTAGCGTTAAGTTATTCCAATTTAAAAGTTGTTTATTTATGTTAGGAATTCAAAAGAGTTTTCTCCATTAAATCTTCGACGTTTGCAAATATGGATTAATAATGGAAGAATAGATGCAAAAAAGCCTATTACCATGAAAGACCTTTATGATTCTAATATTATTCATGGAATAAAGTCAGGTGTTAAGTTACTAGCTAGTGTATTTCCCCTCAAAAATGTTTTTGTATATTAAAATTATTATAGGGCAAAGAATTTTTTAATACACCTATAGAAATAGAAGTTTCAAAAGCTTCAAGAGAAGCTATTAAAAAGATTGAATCTACCGGGGGGAAGATTACTTGTGTATATTATAATTCTTTAGGACTAAAGGTACATCTTCATCCAGAAAATTTCAAAATTATTCCTAAACAAGCTCAACCAATTAGTAGATCTAATATTCAATATTATAGAGATAAAAACAATCGAGGATATTTGGCATCTACTTGATATATATATATATATAATTTTTAATGCTAATAAATGGATAATTGATGCTTTAATCGCAGCATTACCAATTATCAAAATTTCCAAATCCTCTCCTTTTTTTTTTTTTTGGTTCAGATATTTCAGATTTATTATTTATTTCTATAATTTCTTCATCTATTTTATTCAATATGTTATTTTTCTTTAGATACTTTCCAATGGTTGAGCTTTTATGGATATCTTTATTTATGGTTAAAAATTTACCTGTCCAAGTTGTATCATCATTTTCTAAAGAATTTGTGTTTTCTTGTTTTTTTTCGTCCAAAAGTTGTATTTTTTTAAATTCTTCAAACGGATCAACAAAAACAATAATGTCTGTCATTATTATATCCGAAATAGGTTTATCAGAAGAATCCACTGGGCTGTTTTCCATTTTTTCTAAAGTTTCCATCCCTCCAACTACTTTACCAAAAATGGTATGCTTACGATCTAAATGTTTTGTTTCTTTATAAGTTATAAAACTAAATGTATTATTAATATGCAATAATAATAAATAATGTATATATAATATACAATTGTGATGAATTCGTATTTTTTCCTTTATTGGCCATACTAAGTATTCCTCTTTGATTATGACTTAATGGGCCTTGAATTTCATCATTAAAATCTTTTCCCCAAAATGATTTTCCACCTCTGCCAGTACCTGTAGGATCTCCTCCTTGAATCTTGTATTATTAGAATGAATAACATATAAGTAGAAATATAACCATAAAGTTTTTGATATTTCTATGAAATATTACATTTTTATAATCTCCTCGTTTTGCAAGCATAATAAAATTATAAACAGTTTTGGGTGCCCATTCTGCATTTAATTCTATGTTTATATTCCCTTTTTAAATTAAGTGAATATATTTGTATAAAAGAAAATTGTACCTAAATTTGTTTGAATTCTAGCATAACCTTTTGTTTTTATCCTTTTAGGTATTAACATATATTCTTCATCAGTATATAAAGCTCTTTCTAAAGAAGTAATTGGAGTAAGAGAGGTACTGGTAAAACTAGCTGCTGCAAGACCAGTAGTATATGGTGCTACATTATAAGAATGTTTTTTTTCTTGTTTAGAATATTTTGGATCGTTTTTTAGATCTTTAGTATCCAATAAGTCATTTCTTTTATTTTGTATATCAAAACTCATATTGGATCCATTATTAAATATAGATTTTGAATCAGTAATATTCTGTTATAGTTAATATGATCTCTTCAAAAATCATAGTATACTTTTTCTATAGAGTTTATATTAGATTCTAGTTCTTTGTTTGTACATGCTTGGATTTTTACGATAGAATCTTCATTTTTATTAAGGCCTTCTAATTTTGATATTTCATGTGTTTGAAAATTATGTGGATCCTAAAAGTTAATATTTCATTTGGGTTTATTTTTATTATGAAACCTGGATAGTAATTATATCATTTCTTGTAAATGGTTCATTGGTTAATAACTCTTTCATATTTTTAGCTTTAATGTTTAAATTGTTTACAGCATCCCATGAAAATACATTTCCAGATGTTTTTATTGCGACAATATGACTATGGTTATTAAATATCTTATATGTAATTGGACAACAATATTCTCCATCTTCATTTTTATGAAAGTTCAATTTCAGAAGGGATTTTGCTTCAAGTCTTTCTCCTGTTACTGGGTTTTTTTTATGTTTTTTTATATAAGGAATTATATGTCTTATAATATGTTAGTTATTTTATTTCAATAAATATATAGTACAATAGCTCAAAAATAAACGCTTCGTTTGCCTCATTTATATAGCAAACAGGATTTTCAAAAGGCTGTAGCGATAAATTACAGTATTGAAAAGATAATTTATAAAAAGGTTGATCTATTTTCCGTTTTGTAATTCCAGTAGATGTGCTATATTGTCCATCTATTCCTGACCATTCAGAATGTGTTACATATAGCTTTAGAATTAGTTTTAATTAAATAATTCCCTATTAGATTTACTTTATCCGTATTTTTTCCCATATTTTAATTGTATTTTAAAATTTTACGATTTACTGATTTATAAAATGAATCAAGATAAAAATAAATTATTTATTGGGAGTCGTAGGTCTCAGCTTGCTATTGCTCAGACAGATTATGTATTAAAAAGGTTAAGTTTGCTTAATAAAACGTATCAGTTTTCAATAGTTGCCGTTGATACCTCAGGAGATTTAGTACAATCGAAGCCTTTATATCAATTTGAAGAAAATACTGTTTGGACAAAAGAATTAGAAAAATTAATGATAGATGGGAAGTGTTCTATGGCAATCCATAGTTTGAAGGACATGCCTACGAAACTCTCTGATGGTTTTATGATTGGTGCTATATTAGAAAGATTAGATCCTACAGGTTATTATTAAAGCTATTAATTTCTTAATTATTTATTGGATTAGATGCCTTAGTTGTTAAAAAGGGATTACATTATAAATGTCTTGAGGATCTTCCTGAGAAGTCTATTGTTGGTACTAGTAGTATTCGTAGAATTGCTCAGCTTCGCAGGCATTTTCCAAAATTGCTTTTTGAAGATATAGTGGGATATTGTTTTAAACAAAACACTATTAATTGTTTCTAGAGAGGAAATATGTGTGTCTATTTTTTGTTTTATATAAATTTATAATTTTAATATAGTACTACTAGAATAAGGAAATTGGATGATCCTACATTACCATATATATGTCTTATTCTTGCTTCATCTGGGCTAATACGGCTTGGATTACAGGACCGAATTGCTAAAAGACTTGAATCATCTATATTAATGCATGCTGTTGGACAAGGTGCTATTGGAGTAGAAGTCAAATCTGATGATATTGTTACACAGGATTTGGTGAAACCACTGAATCATATGCCAACATTTTTGTGTTGTCTAGCTGAAAGGTCATTAATGTGTAGATTGCAAGGTGGATGTAGTGTTCCTATAGGAGTTGAAACTGAATTTAATGGAAATTTACTTAAAATAGAATCAATAATTGTGAGTCTAGATGGAATGCAATCAGTGACTTCTAATATGTCAATGGAAGTATTAAAGGAGGAGGACGCAATAAAGCTGGGAATTTTGTTAGCAAATGATTTAATAGAAAAAGGTGCATTAGAAATATTATCTAGTATTAAAGAATATAGTTTTTGAAGGAAACATGAATGAAGTTGCATATATTAAAAGTATAAAATGTATAAATAGCGATTTATTTTCTAGATTTATTTATTGAATTTATTTGTCTTTAGAATTTTTTTTTTTGTTTTATAGCTGTATATTGTTTTTCTTCAACTTGATATAGCCAATGTCCTACAATTGCTCCTGTTAATGCATATCCAAGATAACCTTTAATATCTATTCTAAATTGGTATTTCATTAGAGTAAAATTTATATTTAAAAACCTTTAAATTGTGGTCGTTTTTGGATTCCAAGTTGCAAAGACCTAATTGAAAGTCCTTTAGGTAATTTAATTTAGTTATAAAGTATGGAAGATATTTAGCATACCAAAAATTGTGAATCCTATTATGTTTGAAAATAATGACATCTAGGTAATGATTAAATTAGGGTTCGGTAATTTTGATGACTTCAAGTTTTAAAATAATCTAATTGTTTTCTTTTGAATAGTTTTTTTGTAAATAGAAAGATATGCAACAATCGGATTTTTTTCTTCATGGCCGACATGGTTTTGGTTGTGTTTTAAAAGGTAAAAATTCTGAGGCTAAGATGTGCGATGGAAATACTCAAAATAACTCATTAACTAAAGAAATAAAAAAACTAAAAATGGAAAAGGCCATTAAAAACTCTGGAAGAGGCGTTTGTGAAAGTTGTGAAAAAAGGTAATGTTTTTTTTATACTGATGATAATAATGGGGATATCAGTAAAAAACAATTAAAAAATTTTCAGTCAACTCATAGTATGTTATGTTTTAAATTGGTTTATATTTTTTTTCAAGTGTAATATTAGATAATGAAATTGTGTTTAATAAACAGGTTTTTTTATTTAAACATTTGGATGGTGATAGAAGAGTTAATACTCAAGGAACATCTAAGGATATTCATCCAGTGATTTTATCATTAGGTTTGCAATATTCTGAATTCAAAATATGTGGGTCAAATGCTAGATGCATTTTTATGCTAAATTCGTTTAAACAAGTTATTTCAATTCTTAAGTATATTTGTATATTAACTAAATAAATATAATTTAGGTAATTCAGGATTATCATACACCCAGTGGAACTACGTTACAGCGTCATTTACAATCATACATTAATCTTCATATTGCTCATCTTGTTCTTTCAAGACCACTTAGTGTTAGTATGAGAAATGCTATAAGATTTTTGAAGTTAGAAATATCGAATTCGAGTATAGATCTTGGAGAAGACGAGGTTTAGATATTTTGGATGTAAATATAAATTAATTGTGGAAAAGGCAAAAAATCTTCTTATAAAACGTATAGATCGTTTTATTAGAGATAGAATTACTGTTGCCGATCAGGTTATTGTAGCAGCTGGACAGGATAAAATTAATAATGGTGATGTAATTTTGACATATTCAAGGTAATGGTTTTCTTTTTATTGTATTTTTAGTCTTTTAAATAGGTCGTCTATTGTTGAGCAAGTACTTATAGAAGCATATGAACGTCATAAACTTTTTCGTGTAATTGTTGTAGATTCGCGTCCTGGCTTTGAAGGGAAAGAGTGTGTTCGTAGACTTTCTAGAGTTGGTTTAACTTTAACATATTTAACTATTTCTTCCCTTAGTTATATTATGCGAGAAGTTACAAAAGTATTTTTGGGTGCGCATGCAATGTTATCAAATGGTGCTCTATATTCTCGTGTTGGTACTTCTATTGTGGCTATGACTGCAAAAGATAATAATATACCTGTTATTGTATTTTGTGAATCTTATAAATTCACAGATAGAGTTCAGTTGGATTCATTTGTAAATAATGAATTAGGTATATATATTATTACTATGTTTTTTTGTTTATTAGTTTTTATCTTAGGACCGACTGATAATTTAGTTGATATTTCTTGTGGTAACTGTTTTAAATTAGGTCCTCTATCATCATGGTATGAACTTGCCAATCTAAAGCTTCTTAATTTAATGTATGATGTGACACCCGCAAAATTCATAAATGTATGTATTTCAGAAATGGGTATATTGCCTTCTACGTCAGTATCGATTTTAGTTCATGAATTTAAATAGTTGGAAAATAGCTAATAAATAAATTGTAAATAACTTTAATATTATATTAAAAACTTTATGCTAGTAATTATATTTTCAATATTTTATAGGATTATGTAGGATAGTTAATTTATGATGAGTTTACATATAACATCTAAAAAAAGAGCATTATTATGGTATTTAATTTGATTTTTCGGAAATTTCATGAAGTCTAAATATGTTAGTTTTTAGGAAAATAATTTATAAATTAATTTTTACTTGCTTCCTAGTTTAATAATAGAATAATGTATTACTCTTGGATCCAATCTTAATATTTTATTTATTTCGAGTTGAGCTTGTGGGTTTGAATCAAATAACATAGTCCAGTGACGTCCTTCATGATGTATTTGTTGGTGTTTTTTCTTTTTTTTTGGTAAAATTAAATTGCCCCAATCCTCGAACCCTCTAATTATTCCTCCTTTATTTATTATAGTGCTTCCTGATGTTTTGACAAGTTCACGTAAGCTTTTCTAGAGGATTTTAATAGTTTAAAATAAAGAGTAAGATATACTATTTTTAAATTTGCTTTTGTAATACATAATAGTTCATATAAAACCATTTTAATAAAAATTAAATTTTTGTTTCTAAAAAAAGTTTTTTAAAAGATACTTCCTTATTTATTTAAATTAAAAAATATTAGAAAAAACTTTTTATTGAAAGTATAATTTTAAACCATATGTTTTAAATTTATGAAAAAATATTTGAAGTTTTTTTGATTGTCGAATAAAATTTTTGTAAAAAAATCAGTGTAAATGTTTTTTTTTTCGAAAACATTGCCTTATACTTTAGCTTCTAAAGTTTTTATTCATTCAGTTTCTTTTCGACAATTCCGAAATTTCCATTTTTCAAGAGTATATTATGCTAGTATATTATTGTTCTTATAAATAAATTTAAAATTTAATTGATTTTTAGTAAAGAAATATACTAAGGAGCATGAATGGATTTCTCTTGATGATAATGGAATTGGAGTAGTTGGTATAACTGATTATGCTCAAAAGGCTTTAGGGGATGTCGTTTTTTTGGAATTGCCAGAACCAGGACTAATATTTTCCAAAGGAGGTAAAGCTAAAGTTTCAATATTATGAATTCAATATTTATTTCATTTTAAGATAGCATTGGTGTAGTTGAAAGTGTTAAGTCTGCAAGTGATATATATGCGCCTTTAAGTGGTAAAATAATTGAGTCAAATGATTCATTACTGAAAAATCCTGGTTTAATTAATAAGAATGCGGAGTCTGATGGTATGAATAATGTTATATTGATTTTTATATAATTTCGTTTATAGGTTGGATATGTAAAATAAAAATAAATGATACTGATGAATTTAACGTTCTTATGGATGTTGATGATTATAAAATGTATTGTAATGAATAAGCGTCTATATAGATGCTTGAGTTTTTAATGTAAAGTATATGCATATATATATATATATGACAATTTATAAGCTTTGAATAATTTATATCTTGATAAAATAAAAATTACGAATTTTATTTTTAAGTGTTATTTTTATGTATATTTATATAGAAAAATAATATTCAATGCTTATTATTATTATTATTATTATTTGATATATAGTTATCTATGTCAATACTATTAAGTTCTTTACATTTTTGTTCAGCTTGTAAGCTAAGTTTAGTAAAAAAATCATTGGCATGTTTTGAAATTTTGCAGTTTTTTAAAATTTCTTCTTTTCTAGAATAGTGTTTTTTTATAGTTTTTTGAAATAAAAGATGTAGATCCTTTTGAGGATATTTTAAAACTTTTTGACATTCTGATATAATTCTTAATGAGTTTTGATTAATGAAATCAGAATTTTCTAGTTTCTGTTTAATTTTTTTTGCTATTTTTTTAGGAATTGCTTTTGGTATATTGAAAATAGCGTAACCGCAAGTACTAATTACTTAAATTTATTAGTGAACTTTATTTACAAATTTAATTTAAGATACCTGCTAAAGAAATAAAAGGGATAATTAATTTTTTTAGATTTTTTGTTCCAATGATATTAAATGCATTAAATATTGTAGTAATGATATTATGATATCCTGCGATTTTTCCTCCTAAGATAGAGCAAGCACCTATAATTGTTATAAAAGTGTGTTTTTTTTGGTTGAAATCTATAAAATCAAACAAGTCGATATCAACATAAACAGAATTTTTGATGATATTTTTGTGTTTAGAAAACATATATTGTGGTTGAAAAATTTTTTTAAAAGGTTTTATATGTATCATTCTTAAGTTGTTAATTTCATTAATGCCTTTGCTTGTGTTTATCCTTGCAAAAGTTTCTGTATCATTCAAACATAATTCAATATAATTTAACATATTTCTTTTGGTATTTATAGCATAACTATACGCTTTAAAAAATCCCTGATAGTTACACGGTTCAATATATTCCATTTTCATAATTGCTGTTGATAAATGTTCATAAGAATATCTCGATGTTAATAAACAAACATTCTCAATTATTTTTTTGACTTCGTTAAGTATTTTTTTTTTTTCTTCTATTATTTGCTTGCAAATAGGTGTTATTAGCTTAAGTTCCTCTTTTAGATTTTGTATTTGAAAAATTGCTTCATATTTGTTTGTTTCACACAATATTTTGATATCGGTTAATAAGTTTAATAGATAGGTCTTTCCTGGTGAAAGTTTTGATTTTATTCTTTTTTCCAAAATAAATATTTTTAAGTCTTTTTCAAGTTTTTCGAAATCATTGTTATTGAATATTTTATCATTTTCAGTGACAGAAGCTGAGTTTACAAAATGTACTAGTTCTGATGCGTTATAATATGTTTGAGGAGAAAGATTAAAAATCTGTTTTAGAATTACGTCTTTACATCGTTCTTTATCTTTAACATTGTCAAATTTATTAACAACGATAAAAAGTAATGCTTTTTCATTTGATGCATTTAAAATGAATTCTTTTGCCTTTTAAACCAATTAGCTTTAGATATTAAAAATAAATAAAATAATTACTGATAGTGTAAAATGGTTTTCTGCATTTACGACAAAAATAATAATATCTATTTCTTCCTGTTTAGAAAATACTGCTGTTGTTATCATTGAGTTAAAATTGAGACCAGGACTATCAATTAATGTTATATCTAGAGTATCATTTCTTAGAATATTTTGATTGTTTGAGTTAACATTATTAATATATATTTTTATATAGGACCATGTCTTTGAATCAATAACAATTTTATTAAGATCATGAATTCTTAAAATTGCATATGTATTTGAATTTTCTTTATCATAAATCATTCCATGTGGAATTGCATGTACTTCTTCTTTTCCAGAATTTTTATATGAATCAATGATTTCGCAGAAAATCTCAGTACAAGGTTGTTGATCTTCAGGAAGAATTTTTTGTTTTAAAAGTGCATTACAAAAAGTTGATTTTCCTGAATTCAAATCTCCTGTGATAAGTATTTTAGATGATTTGTTTTCTATTCTTTCCATAAGTGTTTCTATATGCTTAATATTTTCAATTATTTTTTTGTTTAATAATAAAGCGATAGTAGATTTTTCAAGTTGGGATAATTCTACTGAAGTTATTTCTCCAAGTTTTAATTGGAGTTTCAAAATATTGAGTTTACTGAGAAATGGTTTAAAATTGTGTTTTTTTTGTTCTATATTTTCTATAATTATATTAGAATTATTGCTTGTATTTTTAAATGACAATGAATTGGTAAGATGAATGTGTTTAGAATCGATTTTTTTTAGAGATAAATTTATTTTTTTTTCAGTTTCATTTCCTTTACTGTTTTTCCGATTAGTCTCATAGAATTTATCATTTTTGTTTGATAATGGATAATGTATTACCCATTCTTTTTTATTGTTAAATTTGATAAGATCCTATTCTTTTATTAGATAACAATGTTCTCTCAATCTCGTCATCCTTACACTTAATAATTTTTTTGTTCTTTCTGCATATTGTAATAATTGTAATTTGCTATTGTTATACAATAATTGTTGATAATGTTCTTGAAAATAGTCTGGAGACTTTAAGAATAATTCTGATAAAATATTAGAAGAATAAATTTTTAGATCCATCTTTTGAATTTTTTTTTTGAGTTTTTAATTATTTTGAGTATTTTTATATGTTTAATGTTAGAAAGTTTAATAGTTTTATTTAGAATTCTGGGTAATATTTTAATATAATAAATAATTTAGTAAATGAATCTTTATGGCATTAATTTAGTATTTATAATATTAGACGATTTGTTTTATTTTTTTTGCTTTTCTCATATAATGCTTGCTTATTGATCGTGTAACGTGATTTTTAGAGTTTACTAAAATTATCATATTTGAAATATTATATATTATTGTGAATATGGATACTATATCATTTAAAGTACTTGATTTTCATATAGATATTTAATTATTTTTCTTTTTTTTGGATGGTAGTAAAAATCTTTCATGTAACTTGATATTATGTATATTTATAGGTTAATGTTTTCGTTATAATTTAGTTTTCATAAATTTTAATTAAAATAACTTGTATATTTATGAATTATTATGCTGTAAATTTTATTTTGACATTTTTGTTTTAAAGCTGAGTTTATCTTAATATGAAATTGCAAATTATCATTTTCATTTTTTTTAGGGATAATGATAAAAAATAATCATAAATTATTTTAAAAAATATTTGTAAATTATGATATATAATTGAATAAAAAATTATAAAATATTTATATGTATATTTTTTTATTTAATATATGCTAGGCTATATATTATTATTTATTATGATTATTTTTTCTTTTTTTAGTAGTTGTAGAAATAAATTTTAGATTTTTGCATGATGAACTGAGGTCATTATTTATAGTCGTAGATAATACGAATTTTGCCTTCTTAAAATTATAAAGTAAGCGTGTATCTTCTAATTCTAATATGTCTAAAATATAGTTTTCTAATTTAATAAGTAAACTAAATGTATGTCTTGACGTAAGTATCTTAAAGTGCTTGCAAACTGACATGAGTATTTTTTTGCTATAAGATCTAATAAATCATTTTTTTTTTAGGGCATCATATAAAGTATCTCCTGAAATTTTGTTGATAAAATATAATTTAGTGAATTGCCATATAATTTTGCATTTTGGATTGTTTAAAATGTAAAATAAATATGTTTTTATTTTAATTTTATGAAAAAAAAGTACTGTATAACTGTCTCGGTTGTTAGATTAAGCAAAAATTATAAAATGTTTTTGCTCGATTTAAGTTTATTTGGAAAAATATTTAACATCCTTAGTTATAATTTAATGTAGACATATATATATAAAAACTACCCTTTTGTATGACAAAACACGTTTACATATATGTTTATATTGCGTTTTAGTTTATTTTAAATTTAACTTATCTAATTTTAATTTAAATGTGCTATTTTTAATTTATTTTTGGAGGGTTCGTAAATTTTGAAAAAAAGCTTAAATATATATTTACGGTAATTTTTTTATGATTTTATTGATTTTTTTTAAAAAATGGATATATGATATATTGCATTTAGTTCACTGAATTAGAATGTGAATATGTTACTATATAAGGATTATAAAGAACCATTTTCTGATTGTAATGATTATTTTGATGATAATGAACTTAGTTCTTCTCCTTCAATTTCAGATGAAGTATGCATTTCTAATCTTTTTTTTGAAAAAATATATTTATTATATTCTTAAGGATATTGATTTTAATTTTGTTTATGCATTGCATACCTTTGTTGCTACAGTAGAAGGACAAGCGAATGTTATTAAAGGAGATACACTTATTCTTTTAGATGATTCTAATAGTTATTGGTGGTTAGTGCGTCTTGCAAAAGATCAAACTGTTGGTAAGAATTTTATAACATTGATTATTTTTGATTATATAGGATATCTTCCTGCTGAGCATATTGAAACTCCTTTGGAGAGACTTGCAAGATTAAATAAATATCGTAATGCTGAAATATCTTCTGTAACAGCTGAGGAACCCAGAAGCGATTCAATTTCTTATAATAATGCACATGTGTGTAACAAAGACAATAAACTGGTTGTATTTTCTGTACCAACTTACATTGAATATGTAGAGGGTGAATGGGATGATAATAGTAAATGTGCAGATGATGATTTTGAAATATCTGAAGAGTGTGAGATACATGATTATATAAATGATGATAGTGATAATTATGATGATGACATGTGTACAGGTAATATGTATTATTATTTTGAATTTAATTGATAGGATTTGATTAAAGATTTCAATACAAGAGATACAAATAAGATACAGAGAAAATGTTATGAAATGGGTAATAATATTTATTTTATAATATTAAAATTTATAGAATATTTAGTTTTATACAATAACTCTCAAAACCTACCTATTGCACCTGACTCCAATGATATAATAGGAAATAGTTATCATAAAGAATGGTTTCTTCTATAATATATATATATATTCTTAATTTATTGATTTTATACTAGTAATGATATATCTGATAGAGTGTGTATAAATAAATGTAAAAAAAAGTCTAAGGGAAAATCTGGTGGAATGTCTCAGAGAAATGATAAAAAAGATGAAATATGTAAATCTCTACGCAAGAGTTATGATAGTTTAGAAAATTTAAGATTGGAAAATAATTCTCAGGTACATGATGCTTTAAAAAATGACGATATAAAATGTAATGTGACATCTCTTTCTTATGATATAGATAAAGGTATTTCATTTGCATTAGATTCTTGTATTGATATGATAACCGAGATAGGAATTTATGAAATTTATGTATTTAACTGATTTCTTTTTTTATTACTAACTGGTGCTATATCAAGGACAATAATAGTGATCACTTTCATCTCTTAAATGATATTAGATACGATACTGTATTAGGTGCTAGTGAGGTTTATAATAAGAATATATATTTATCTAAAGGTGCTCTTCGTGAATACTTTGATCAGAGAAAAGATTTGGAATTGTATTTTTTTGTTAATTCTATGTTTTCTTTTGACAAAAATGAAAATATTATTTATCCAGAAATTCATGAACTTTATGTCAATATACAGTTTGAGTTGGAAAAAATATCACAGGTATATGATTATGTTTTTAGAATTGTTGTTAAATATTAGAAGCAACTAGATACGATGCTTATAAAATTTAAATGCTAATTAGTTATAAAACTTAATATAAGCGATAATAAATATTAATTTATTTAATTGATAATCTTAGATCATATGTATTCTATTTTACGTTAAATATATGTTTATTTTTATATATTTTTATTTTTTTTTTAGAATTTGTTTTCGTTTATATTTTATTTTTGTAATATTTTTATATCAAGAGCTTAAAATATCGATTAATAATGTTTATATATATATGATTTTCAAATAATAAAACATCATTTGAATTTTTATGTTTTAGTATAGCCTGGATTAATATATATCTTTGGATTGTTTAAAATCAAACTTTAGGAAATATGGTTACTTTAAATAAGTTTGGTCAAAGTTTATTTAAGAGGGCTGATAGTATTTTTTGTTGTTGTGGAAAGTGTTATCCTGCGTCTATTGTTTCGCCTATTTGTACAATAAGAATAGAAAGAACAGAATATTTATTAGATGAACCAGCGTCTTCAAGTTTGGATTTAAGAGGAATTAATGACATGACATATTTTGAAATAATGGAACCTATTAAGCGTATGGAAAAGTTATGCCGTTCTGGAAAAAAATGGTTGAAAACTTTTAATGGCAAAAAGAAAGGTTTTGATAACTTTTTTCGATTTCAAGATTACGTTACTGATAATGGGTTGAAATTGGAAAATAGGCCAAAATCGTCAATAAGTTTTATTAAAATACCAGTATCTGTCCTTCGCTGTAGACGTTCTTGGCCTAATCATAAAAAAACGATTTAATTTTTTTGACTTTTGTATTAATACATTTGTTTTAATTAATGTTATGCATTTTAAAAACTGCTTGTTTAATATGTTTTTTTTTTTTTTTTTGATAATAAACTTTTAGATTAATTGAATATTTCAATGTCAGTAAAAAATATGAAATAATATATATTTATTTATTATTATATATTATTCATCATATTGTGATGTATTATGTAATATATTCATGATCATTATATGAAAAAATAATAATAATGAAATAAAACATTTGAAGTTTTATATATATATAATGTTTTCGAATTTATGATTTTTAAATATTTAATTAAAAATTAATGTTTAAAATTATATAGTATAAAAATATATATTATCCATAATAATATTATTTAAAATATTATTTAAGAATATGTTATTTTAAAATTATAGTAGATATTTTATTTAAATTGTAGATTGGATATATATTTTATTTAAAATGTTTATTATTTTTTAAATAATTATTAATTTATAAAAAGTAACTAAATAACTATATAATTTAAATTATTTATTATATACAATTTAATTATTTTTTTAAACGTAATATGATTCAATTAAACTATTGTAATTATCATATTTTTTTAAAAATATAATGAAAGTATAGAGACTAATAGGAATGAAGATTAAATAATATATAGTTTTTTTACTATTTTTATTATATTATTAAATAATACAATTATTTTTGATTCAATAGTAATCTAAGATATTTAGAATATGAAAGATCGACGTATTTATATTAGTTTCATATAAAATACAAATTAATAAATATATTAAAATAACATTTTATAAGACAGTTATATGCAATTATACTAAAAAAGTCAAATAATTAATCAATTAATTAAATTAATATATTGTTTATTTTAAAAACATTTTTAACATGTTGATCATCATTTTTATATCATGATTTTGATTTATTATTTAACTGATAAAATTACAAAATTAAATTGAAATAATAATTAATACATTCATTCTAAAAACGTAATGACAATTGTTTAATTTATTACGTTTTAAAGAAAAAAACATTAGATTTTAATATAATAATATTTTTAATATTAAAATCAAAATAGTAAAAATTACATCAAAATACATGGTAATATATTTCACATAATGTATTAATATACAAATTTATAATGAAATTATATAAAATTTCATATAAAACAAAAAATATTTTTTATAAATTACTAGATAAAGTTAATCAAAATTAACATTATATGTTTATTATTTTTTATATAATATTTTTACCATTTTATTTTTTAAACTAAAACATGAAGTAATTTCTTATTATACGATCTAACAAAAATAATATTTTTTTCGTATTAAATATTAATATAAAAAAATAATAACCAATCTTAAATCTGTCAGATATAATTTATATACATCGCGTAAAATAGTCCTACAAAATCAACTAAATTAAAAAATAATGACAGAAAAAGTGATTGAAGATCTAGTATGCTCGTTAAAGAAGACTAACATTTTCCTAATTAAAACTACAGAATAGATATATATTGATTGCAAAACAAAGACATGAATATGAACTATTAAAATGTTCTACTACAAAAATCCATATGCAAGAAGAAAATAGACGTGCTCGTTTGGAAATACACGTTCTAACTAATGAAAAAAAAGAAATGCACCAATCAGAATTAATTTATAGACAAACTATTAAAGAGTTAACGGTAATACACGTTTTTATTTGACAAATTAATTCAATATAAAAAGGATGATTTACAAAAATTACAAGATCAATATATTATAATAGAACAAAAAAACGATGAATTAAACTCGAAAATTATAAAATATGAAGAAAAGCTATCACATCTTGAAGTATAATTGCATTGATTATTATTTGGATCTAATTGAACTAAGAAAAATACACTAAAAAACAACTCAAATGTTTCACAAGACAATGTTCTACTTCAAAAAATAGAATTTCTAGAAGTATAATTATACACATTATATATTTTTTATCTTACACTGCATAGAAGGAATTAATAAATGAAAAAAGTAAACAAAACGTACAAAATGATTTAACAAGAAATTTAGAATCAAATCATTCCTTCAAAACACCAGAAGTATTGTAATGTACTAAATGTTTAATACTAATTTTTTTAGCTCAATTTAAAAAATTCAGAAAAAATAAACAGTATAATCAAAACCATCAACAAAGATGCCAAGTCAAATATGTCAACTATTAAGAATACTAAGGTATAAGAATCGTATTATAATGGGAAAATACTAACAAATTAGTTAAAATCAATCAAATATTTAAAAATGAAAAAATCAAATAAGGCCAAAATTAAAAAAAATATATACATAGACAATTATACTTTCAATAATCAATCGGAATCATCAAAAAAAAAAGATAGAACCGTATCAGATATTTTTCAGGGGAAAAATAATACACAAGTTTATAATCATATAAAATCACCAGTTGTGCCAATAAAGCTAAAAAAAGACAAATTAAATCCAGAATCAGCAATGTCTACATTTTCTATAACACCATTTCTAGACCGTACAAATATAAATACTAAAAACCTATTATTTTCACCTTTAGAACCCAATAATTTGGAAACAAGAATAATTTTAACAGAAGATAAATTAAAAACAAAAAAACAAAACATTTCTAATAAAAAAAGGAAATTAGGTGCAATTGGAAAAACATTATTTGATGAAACACCTAAAGGATTAATTAATTCGGTCTTTTTGCAAAACGTTAGCCCTTTAAAGCACGGCAAAAAAATAACAATTCAGCCCTTTGCTACTAGTACAGCAAAACAATAAATGATTAGGTAATTGATAGTTTTATACGGTTTCACTTCATTTGTTTCATTTTTTTTTCACATCTATATTATTTGTATTTAATATTTTCATTAGTATATTAGTGTCTAACTATATTAAATGATAAAATTTACGCATTTTGAAAAGTTTTTACCTATTAACAAAAAAATATATAAAACATTTTGATGACTATTTTGAGTTCAAAGACATGCAAATTTAAAATATATAAACTCATTTTCATTCATACCCAAAAGTTTCATTCTTCCAATCAACTTAATTCAAACTCATCATCAAAAAGATGGATTCAAAGACAAAAAAATGACTATTTTACACGTGAAGCACGTGTATTGCAATATAAATCAAGAGCAGCATTCAAATTATTAGAAGTTTAACCCATCATTTTATTATTATTATTTAACATTTAGATAAATGAAAAATATAAGATTTTTAAACCAGGGAATACAGTAATTGATCTAGTAATAGACAAACATAATTAACATATAATTTAACATTTTTTAGGGGTTTTCTCCAGGATCATGGTCCCAGGTTGCAGTTGAAAAAGTTGGATCTAAAGGTCGTGTTCTAGGATTAGATATCATACCTTCACAACCACCAGTTGGTGTATCTTCTATGCAAGGAAACTTTCTTTCAAAAGCAACCCAAAGAGCCATTATAAAGTATCTTTCCGATCCAAATCGTGGTCGTCAAAGTGCTATTTCTTCACTTAGTTTTGAAAATGGGGAGAAATTATCATATATAGATTTAGAAAGACGACTAGAACATAACAATACTAAATCTCATAGCAGTAAAGTAGCGGATGTTATTTTAAGTGATATGTTAGCACCTTTGCCACAAATTGATGGCTTTTATAAACGAAGTCTGAGTGACCCTTATCATAGGTTAGCAAATATTTCTGGAATCAGTGTAAAAGATCATGGAGCAAGCATGGTAATCATATAAAAAATAGCTAATTTTGGTAATATATTTAAGGATCTTTGTGATTCAGCATTATTATTTTGTATAGATGCATTACACGTTGGAGGAAATTTTATATGTAAATTTTATTCAGGCATAGAAGACAAAATATTATTGAAAAAGATGCAAAAAGTATTTCAGGAAGTTAAAAGAGAAAAGCCATGTGCATCTTATAGTGAATCTCGAGAATCATACTTTATTGGACTAAAAATGCGTGCATCGATTAATAAAAAAGACATTGAAAATATGTAAGTTTATTATAACTCTTATTCATATTACTATTAGATTATTATAATTTTAGTCATTTTTTTTCATATTTTTTAATTATATTTTTTCTTTAAAAAAGCATTGAAATAATCAAAATTTTATACATTTTTTTACAAAATAAAAAGATTTATAATATATATATTCAACTAGATTTACAGCTTTAAATCACCAATAATTTCCTTTAGCTCATTTTTAAGCGAATCCTCAAGAATGCCATTATCGCGTAAATATATCCATTTTCCATCATTTTCATCATTTGTTGGTATCCAGTCATATCTTTTTGGCCCAGATATTGGAGACGAAACCCATATTTGTTTATTAAATGACTGTTTATTCAAAACATAAGTTCCATAATTCCCAAGATCAAGTGTAAGAACGTCTTGCTATTATATATTAGATAATAATAATAATATATATAGAAAAACTACCGAATATTCAACTTCTATTGTCTTTTCAGGATAATCTTGCTGCATCTGTTCTAATGCATATAAAATCTTTTTTATAGTATTATCAGCTAATTGGTGATATTTCTCAATTGTGAGATTTGATGAATATTTTCTAGAAAATACAAATAGAATTCTATTAACGAGTTTATGACTAAATTTTTTCAAAAGAACTAGATTTTGCAAATTATATTTTAAATAATTGAATTTTGTCAAATGTAATTTTTGAAAAGTAATATTGCGTATAAATCTATATTGAATCTGACAATTTCTTTTCAAAAAACATACTTTACTAATAGAAAATAATATATTATAATTTTTCATATTTTTAAAAATTCGTCAATTAAGTTTCAAAAGTGCAATCGACCATAAAAAAATATAAAATATTTAACTCTGTTAAAATTAACATAAACAAAAATAGACATTAAGAACAATATTTTTTAGACTAATTTTAAAAAGTAATCGGTTTGTATAATTTAAGATGGACAAAAAAAAAATATATCCGATTGCTTTAATCACATCACTAGAGAAAAACAAGAATGCAAAAACATCACTTAAAGATTATATACATATGATTATGAATATTCTTGGAGGGAATGAATTGATTTTATTGGAAATACAAGGAACCATTGAACGCGATGATACTAACAATGCCGACAGGCATATTGGTAAAATATACTATGATTCAATAGTGAAGTTCCAAAAACAGTAATTATCATATATGCTATTAACATGAAAGAACAGAAGGAGTGTATTTATTTAAAAATTGGATATCATCATCTTGAAGGAAAAATTGAAACTCTTTTACAACCTTTTGCAGTCCTGCGCCGTCGAAGTAAAAAAAGTGTCCAATCTAACGATAATGAATCTTATCATGATGAAATGATTGATGTCTTAGAAATAATTCGGAAAAGAGTAGTATTCAACCTTTTGCCTCAGCCCATTATATAAATTTTTATTATATAATTATATTTTATATAACTATTTTAAAGGGTTATTTATAAAAATATCAATACGTTAAAATTATTTAAAAAATTAACATATTATTAATGTTTTTTATATTTTTTCTGAACAATTTATATTTTTTACAATTTTCAATAAGTTATAAAATTATAGATTTAAACTTAATTTACATATATTAACATGTTGATAAAATTCTACATTTTTTCTGCTATTTTTTATATAATTTCTATTTATAACTATATAATATTTTAATGAAGTTTTAAAATATATTCAATATTTTTTTTTAGAAAAACAATATTTTTTAAGATTGAACATTTATATAAAAAAATTATATGTTAATTCTTAAATATTTAAACTAAGTGCACAATATACCAATATATTCAAAATATTTTATAACTGCTAAACCATAATTTAAATATGTAAAAACAAGAAATACAGTAATTATAACATTATCATAATAACGTTAAAGTGTCTATTAAGTTAATACAAATGAAAAAATATAATAAAAATAGAATTACCATATTTTCAAATTGAAATATTATCAAACATAATCATACAAATATTTCAATAATACTACAAAAAAGCATTATACATTTTATAGTATTAAAAAAAATAAACATATTTACAGAATATCAAAAATAAATTTAACAGAAAGACTATTAAAATAATATTAATAAAAATAATATATTATTTCTAGATATATTTCCAAATATTTTTTTTATTTATGCTAATATGTTGATTATTGCATATTTTTTTTGAATTCTATTAACACATTTATTGATATATTTTTATCGTAGAAATTAAAAAAATCATAGATTATAAATTTTATTAAATTTAATTTCCAATATTTTTATGTAAAAACTTTTTTATTAATATTTAAAATATTTTATAATACAATTCAATCAATTTTTGTTTAAAAAAATGCAAACTTTATATAAAACAGGACTTATAAAAAGAAAAATAATAAACAAAATATTTCATGGAAAATCATACATAAAAATTAGCAAATCCTGGACACATAGTAGCATATATCAAGCATTAGACTCTTTAGAACGACGACATTTGGGTGTCAATGGTTTCAAAGAAGAAAACTGCATCCTTAAACAAATTAAATTAAACGATCTTAATACATTCATCAAAAAAACTATTCCTAGTAATATCTTAATAAATGAAAAAGAAATTGAAGATGCTTTGGGTAAAGGATTTAGTGAAAGCGAATTAATTTCTCATTTACGTAAACTTGCATCAAAAAATCGTCTTATAAAAAGTCTAATTGGAATGGGTTATGTTGGAACAAATGTTCCCGCTGTTATTCAGCGTAATATTCTTGAGAATCCAGCATGGTATACTAGCTATACTCCTTATCAACCAGAAATATCTCAAGGTCGATTAGAGTGTTTAATTAATTATCAAACCATGATTTCAGATCTTACAGAACTTCCCATATCTAATGCATCATTACTTGACGAAGGTACAGCGGCTGCAGAAGCTATGGCAATGGCATTTTCAATACTAAAACAAAAACGGAAAACTTTTTATGTAGATATAAATGCACATCCACAAACAATAGAAGTTCTCAAATTACGATCCTCTGGCTTTGGTATCAACATTGTTATAGGAAAACCTACAAAAGAAGAAATAGAACCATTGAAAAATGATATTTTTGGAATATTATTACAATATCCGGACACATTTGGAGGAATTCATGATTACACTTGTTTTTCTCAATATGTTCATTCTTTTAATGCTCATATTATATGTGCAGTTGACTTACTCTCTTTAACATTATTGCAGTCTCCAAGTCAATGGGGAGCAGATATTATTGTTGGGTCTTCTCAAAGATTTGGAATACCAATGGGATTTGGCGGGCCTCATGCAGCATTTATTGCATGCAATGATATGTATAAACGTAAAATTCCTGGACGTATAGTTGGAATTAGTAAAGATCGTCGCGGAAAACTTGCCTATCGTCTTGCTTTACAAACACGTGAACAACACATTCGACGAGAAAAAGCTACTAGTAATATTTGTACATCACAAGTTTTACTTGCTATTATGGTATTATCGCTATTTAGATATTATATATATTTATTTTTTTAGGCATCTTTATATGCAATTTATCATGGTCCTATTGGACTCCAAAATACAGCAAAAAGAATTTTAAGTTTAACGAAAATACTTGGCGAGTTTATTAAAAAACAAGGACATTCTCTGTATAGTGAAATATATTTCGATACATTAACTATTAAATTAAAAAACTGTAACGCTGATCAACTTTTAAAAAAAGCGTTATCAAAAAATTATAATTTACGTTATATTGATGAAGAAACTATTGGTATAACTTTAGATGAAACAGTAACCGAGGATGATATGAAACATCTTTTTGATATTTTCACTATATCTGGCTATAAATTAGAAACACCTATATCTATTGCAAAAAAATTAAATATATCAATTGAATCACCTGCTGTATTACCAGAAAAATTTCAACGAAAAAAAGAGTTTTTACAACATAAAGTTTTCAACTCATATCATACCGAAACAGAAATACTTCGATATATATATCATCTCCAATCTAAAGATTTATCTTTAACGTGTTCTATGATACCTCTTGGAAGTTGTACTATGAAATTAAACGCAACTACAGAAATGTTAAGTGTTACATGGCCAGAATTCAATTCTCTTCATCCATTTGTTCCAAGAGATCAAGTAGAAGGCTATCACATACTTATTAAAGAGCTGGAAGATGATTTATTAACAATTACTGGATTTAACGGATGTACATTTCAACCGAATTCTGGAGCTAGTGGTGAATATACAGGACTTCAAATTATTTCAAAATATCATAAAGAAAATAATCAAAGTCATCGTAATATATGCCTTATTCCAATATCTGCTCATGGCACAAATCCTGCTTCTGCCATTATGGCTGGAATGAAAGTCGTTCCTGTAAAATGTGATTCTAATGGAAATATAGATTTAGATGATCTTAAAATGAAAGCAGAACTACATAAAGATAATCTATCAGTTTTTATGGTTACATATCCAAGTACTTATGGTGTTTTTGAGCCTTATATTGTAGAGGCATTAAAGATTATTCATGATTTTGGTGGACAAGTCTATCTTGATGGTGCAAATATGAATGCACAAATTGGACTTTGTAGTCCGGCAAAAATCGGTGTCGATATTTGTCATTTGAATTTGCATAAAACGTAATGCTACTAAAACCAGATTTAAATTTGAATAACTGATATAGATTTTGTATACCTCATGGAGGTGGGGGACCTGGAATTGGTGTATGCGCAATGAAAGATCATTTATTAGATTACATCCCTGGCCATCCAATAGTTAAAACAGGAGGAAAAAAGGCTATTCCTCCAGTTTCTTCTGCTCCTTGGGGCTCTGCTAGCATTTTACCTATTTCATGGGCTTATATTAAAATGCTAGGTATTAGCTTTATATGGAAAATATTTTTTTAACTATAAATAGGAGGAAAAGGCCTTATTCGTGCATCAAAGATTGCACTTTTAAACGCAAATTATATGGCATCTAAACTATCTAAACATTATAAAATATTATATACTAATTCACAAGGAATGTGTGCCCATGAATTTATTCTAGATGTCCGTGAATTTAAAGAATTAGGAATTGGAGCTATAGATATCGCTAAACGTTTACAAGATTATTCATTCCATGCTCCAACAGTGTCCTGGGTAATTAAAAGCATTTTTTATAAATTGATACTAATTTTTGATAGCCTATAGCAAATACTTTAATGATAGAGCCTACAGAATCTGAAAGTATAGAAGAAATGGATAGATTTTGTGATGCATTAGTCTCTATTAGACAAGAAATAAAGGATATTGAGGAAGGAAAGCAGCCTAAAGGAAATAATTTACTTTCTAATGCTCCACATCCATTAGATGATTTTATTTTCGAGGAATGGAATAAACCCTATACTAAAGAACAAGCAGCTTATCCTTTGGAATATCTTAAAGAGCGAAAATTCTGGCCCTCCACTGCTAGAATAGATGATACTTGGGGGGATTTAAACTTTTTTTGTAGTTGTGAGCCACCTGAAGGATTTTTTAAATAATCAAGTTAGTATTTTTTTTGAAATATATTTTTATTGTATATACTATTTTCTAAAAAAATGATTTATTATACAATTATATACATTTCAATAGAACTTAAAAAATTATAACCATTTATTAAATTATTTTTTTATAAAATTGCCTATACAAGAATATTCATTTTAAAAAAAATCTAAAATCTAAAATTATCAAATATTAAAAACCAATACTTTTAAAATAACAATATTTTTCAATGTTTAAGCAGAAATCAATATTATATTAATAAATTATATATTTATTATCTTTTTTATAAAAATCATTAATATTTTGTAATTTACATTAACTTTACAATTTATCATAAAAATATTTTTTTTATTTTTCTTAAATCACAATTTCATTTTTTTTAAAAAATATTTAATACTATTCATCAATTACTAATAAATTTGATAAATTTTCAAATAATTAAAAATAAATATATTATTTCCAAACTAGAATTTAATATGCTATCATAAACATTCAATTTTTATAAAAAAATCAATCAAATTATTAAATGTTTAATATTGATATTTATTCAAAAATTAAAATACCATTAAAACATATAATAATAAAAAATAATATTAAAAAAACTGAAACATTAATTTTTATAAAAAATATAAACTTTTCAAAAGATTCAAAATTATTAAAATCTAAAAAATGATTAAACTAAAAATAATTTATTAATAAATTGCTATCAAATCAAATTATATATTTTTCCTTCTAAAAACATTATATATTTATATATCTTCTATTATCATCATTAAATCAACAAATAACATAATAAATATCACTAGTTAATATATTCCTATTTTTCATTAGCAAAAAAGAATTTGAGAATAAACTAAATTTATAAGAATCAGATAAATAAAATAATGCAATATAATATCTTCAATACTTTTTAAGTATTCAGAACAGGTCTGTATATAATATCATCATATATATATATATATAAATATATGATAAAAAAACTACATACCAATTAGCATTCTTACGGCTTTTATTGCTAACTATTAAAAAATTCTTTAAAACTTAATATCATATTTGCATAATTGGATCTATACCATAAAAAATATCATATTCATAGCTTATGAAATCCTTATGATATTTAAATATGTTGGAAATTTTTAAAATTTCTTTTAAGAACAAATATCAAAACAAATATACATTGGCTTACGAAATTGTTCAAATGCATTTTCTTAAGATATAAATTTATAAAATATTTTAAACCCCGTAACAATCAAATTATTTAATATTTTTATAAATTTAAACAAAATCTATATTTAAATAGTTAATTAAAAAAATAGATAATAAATCCAAAATATAAATAAATCCAAAATATTATTAAATTATTAAATAGAGCTTTAAATATAAAATATTTTATAGCATAAAAATATTTTTAAAAAATAAGAAAATAAACATAAAATAATTTAATAAAAATACATAATTAAAATTATATAAGAAAATTATGATAAAAAACAAAGAAATTGATGATTCATTAAATAAATTAGTCTCAACACTTCAACTTCAAAACGTAAAGCTATAGCTTTAAACAATTTTAGAAATTAACATTAATATATTTAGACATTTAAAAGAGATTTTTTAATTAATAATGAAAAACGCTTTCAAAATAAGTGGAAAAGAGAAAAAGTTTTTGAGGTAGATGCACCTTCTATTGAAAATGAGCCGATCCATGATATAAATATTTTACATGAAAAGTATCCCAAATTCTTTGGAACTATGTAAGGATTTTTTCTTAATTTTTTCCTTTTGAAAAATCCAGGGCTTATCCATATATGAATGGGTCATTACACTTAGGACACGCTTTTACTATGACAAAAGTTGATTTTGCTGTTGGATTTGAGCGTATGAGAGGAAAAAGATCTCTTTTTCCTCTAGGAATGCATTGCACAGGAATGCCTATAAAAGTATTTAAAAAATTTAAAGCTATTATATTATTAAATAAATCTAGGCATGTGCTGATAAGCTTCAAAGGGAAATTGAACTATTTGGGAAAGATTTTTCAGGATACATAGAAAAAGACGAAAAGTGTATAGATTCAGTTTCTAATGAAAAAGATTTAACTAAATTTCACTCAAAAAAAGGAAAAGTATCAATAAAAAAACATAACTTAGAACATCAATTTCAAATTATGCGGCTTTTAGGTATACCTAATGAAGAAATATACAAATTTGCAGATGCAGAATACTGGTTAAAATATTTTCCAGATTTATGTAAACAAGATGCTGAAAATTTCGGTGCTCGTATTGATTGGAGAAGATCCTTTATTACTACCGATACTAATCCATATTATGATAGTTTTATACGTTGGCAGATGAATTGCCTAAAAAAATTAGAAAAAATCAAATTTGGGGAGAGATATACTATTTTTAGTGCAAAAGATAATCAACCTTGTATGGATCATGATAGACAACAAGGGGAAGGAATTTGCCCTCAAGAATATACATGTATAAAGTTAGAAGTTATTTCATGGTCTGAAGAAGCGAAATCTATACTCGTTAATTTTAATTTTTCTGGAAAATCTATATATATGGTTGCAGCAACATTAAGACCAGAAACAATATATGGACAAACATGTTGTTTTGTTAACCCTAATATTTCCTACGGAATATTTAAATCAAATAATCCTAATGAATACTTTATTTGTACTTCAAGATCAGCAAAAAATATGGCTTTTCAAAAATTATCACCAGGAAAAGGAATTATTGACAAAATTGTAGATTTAAAAGGTTCATCAATGATTGGTACAAAGGTTAAAGCACCTTTAAGTATATATACAGAAGTGTATGTTTTACCTATGGAAAGTATACTTATAAATAAAGGAACATCTATTGTTATATCTGTTCCTTCGAACTCACCAGATGATTATGCAACCGTTTTAGATTTAACAAAAAAAGCATCATATTATGGAATTAAAAAAGAATGGGTATGTTATGATCCAATACCTATAATCCATACACCAATGTATGGGGATTTAGCAGCTCCTAAATTATGTAAAGAAATGAAAATCCAAAGTCCAAAAGATTCTAAACAGTTAACAGAAGCAAAAGAATTAATATACAAACACGATTATTATTACGGAACCATGCTTATAGGTAAATATAAAGGAGAAAAAGTTGAGGAAGCTAAACCAAAAATTCTTTCTGATTTAATTGCTAAAGGAATTGCCTTCATATATAGTGAACCTGAAGGACTTGTTATTAGTAGAAGTGGTGATCAATGTATTGTAGCTTTATGTGATCAATGGTATATAGACTATGGAGAAGAAAGTTGGAAACAAGAGGCAAAGAAATGCCTGTCTAGGATGGAAACATATGGTGATGAAACTAGACATGCGTTTGAAGGAACTCTTGAATGGCTAAATCAATGGGCATGTTCAAGATCTTATGGTTTAGGCTCACGTCTTCCCTGGGATCCTCAATATCTTGTAGAAAGTTTAACAGATTCTACTATTTATATGTCTTATTATACTATTGCTCATCTTCTTCACGAAGATATCATGGGATTAAAAAAAGGCCCAGCTAATATAGAAGCACAGGACATGACAGATGATGTATGGAATTATATCTTTTGTTATGGCCCTAAACCAGACACAAAAATACCGATTTATATACTTGATAAATTGAGACGAGAATTCGAATATTTTTATCCTTTAGATCTCAGGGTTTCCGGAAAAGATTTAATCCCTAATCATTTAACTTTTTGGATATATGTTCATACAGCAATATTCCGTGAAAATATATGGCCTAAGTCTGTTAGAGGAAATGGTCATTTACTATTAAATGGAGAAAAGATGTCTAAATCAACGGGAAATTTTTTAACGTTAAAAGAAGCAATAGAAAAATTTGGAGCAGATGCTACTAGATTAGCTATGGCAGATGCAGGTGATAGCCTTAATGATGCAAATTTCGAAGAGACAACAGCTAACTCAGCAATATTACGTTTGTATACATTAGGATTATGGTGTAAAGTGATTATCAATGTATTTTTTGTATCTCATCCTTACTAAATATTAGGACCAAATTGAAAAATTAGATAATTTCAGAAACGGGGAAATGAATTTCCATGATTATGCTTTTGAAAATGAAATGAATGAACTAATTCAACTAACATATAACCACTATGCAAGGTAAGAAAACTATTTATAAATACCATTTATTAACTTTAAAAGCACATCATATAAATTAGCATTAAAAGTTGGCTTTTATGATTTTCAAGCTGCTAGAGATTGGTATCGAGAAGTTACTCTTGATCATGGAACACATAGAAACTTAATAAAAAGATGGATCGAGGTTCAAGTTTTGCTAGTATTACCATTCATTCCACATTTTAGTGATTTTATATGGTCAGACATTTTGAAAAATGTAATATCACATTATATAGTAAATTCTTTTTTCTAATTATTTTTAAGAATTCGTGTATCCATGATGTTTATTTTCCAGTAATTTCAAAACCTATTAATAATTCTATATCTTATAGTTTGTCATATCTTCGATCTCTTGTCAAAGTAATTAGGGAAGAAGAAAACCAGCAACTAAAAAAACAGAAAAAAGGCAGAAATATTTTATTTGATCCTAAAAAGCCAAAAAAAATAACAATCTATGTTTCTACTGATTTTTCAAAATTGCAACAAAAATATATTGATCTTCTTCAAGAATGTTATGATGAAGTATTTATATTTTATTACATAATTATTCTTTCCCTTAATATATATTAGGAAAAAAAAAAGTTTAACGAAACTTTGTCTAAAATATCAAAAATGGAAGAAATGAAAGAAATTACACCATTTATTCAACAAATAAAATTATTAATATTAAATAAAAAAAAAACTGATGAAAAAATATTTAAAAAAGAAATGTTATTCAATGAATTAGATGTATTATCTAGCAGTATTTCTTTTCTGAAGCAAAGCATAGGAATAACTATAATTGAAATCATTAAAATAACATATAACGATGAAGACATTATGTCAGCAGAATCAATCCTAAATGGTAATAAAATTAACATAATCCCGGACAATGCAAAAAATTCTATGCCTGGTCATCCTGTTTTTCTTTTTGAAAATATTTAAAAAATCAAAATAATACAGTTATTAAAGCATTGTATAAGTAAAATAAAATATCAATATGCAAATAGAGTAGCCCTGATAGAATAAATCAATGTATGATATAAATAAAACATTATATTCTTTATCTATTGGCACCATACGAAAACAAACTTCCATCATGATGTAAATAATATTTTTAAACGTTACCGAATTTTTTCGTTCCCTTCTCTATCTATTCCCTCAACCAATTCAACAATGTCACTGCCGAACACTCCTTCCCATCGTACAGCTCTTCCTCCACCTCCGCTAGCTATAGACCCTCTTTCATCTTCCCACATTTTATAAAATCTTACTGTTTCATCACTTGCTGCAACAACTATTGTTCCTCCACCAACATTTTCACCATTCTCATTTTTAGCTACAGTATTAACAGCATAAATAGCACGCAATTCAGGATGACCAGCAGGTATAGAAACTAAAAGTTTTAATGTAGGCCAGGCATATACAGCAATTCTATGAGATATATCTGAAAAAGAATAGCCAAAAGTAGCGCAAATTTCTCTATAAGTAGGCGACCAAGTAAGAGATGTCACTTGGCCTCCACAATCTATCATGTTTATCAATGCTCCAGTATAAGTATGATAAAATCGTATACGTTTATCATGAGAACCACCTCCTATAATTCTTTTACTCTATTATTTTCTATATATTTAATAAAATTACCAGTAGCTAATAAAGATTTTTGCCAAGGACAAAATGCAAGTGCTTTAACAGCAGCAAAATGTTGCCAAACAATTTTAGGTTTTTCTAATCGTAAAGCATCAAACAAACATACGAAATTGTCATTTCCACCAGTAGCAAACTGAGTTCCATCTATATTCCATGCCAACCCACAAATTTGTTCCTGATGAGCATTTGAAATAATTTTTAATAACCGAGCATTAGCAGAAGAATTTGTCCATTCTATTTCATAATAATATATTTTTCCATTATGTGCACCAACTAAAAGATCATTTTTACTCTTTGAACGCAATGGATGTTTTGGTCTCCAGGTCATACATCCTATATCACCTGCATGTGCTAATTCTAAACGAGGCGCATATTCTCCTTTAGACCAAAATTGAACCATTCCATCAACACGTCCAATAGCCAAAATATCTCCATGATAAGAAAATGCAAGAGAAGATACAAACTGATCAGAAAAGTCTTCAGGAACTTGAGTTGTTCCATCAGTATTATTCCATAAATAAACATTGTCAGCAAGCCCAACAGCTAAATCGCCTTTACTACTCCAAGCAAGCAAGGTGGTATAAAAATCATCGCGAAGATTAGGCGCATCTAAAACTTTTATAGGCTGCATTGATACTGGGCGTTTTGGTATAGCTTTGAAAGTAGAAAAATTTAAAAGATCTAACTGATCATCGCAGGGCTTACATCGCGTCAAACAAGGAGGCTTTTGATATATAAAAACATTTGAGGAACGATCGAAACCAAGTGCCTCAGCAATGCGAGATTCATGAGTTTCTGATGTTGCCTTAGATGATTTTGGAGATCCATTGTCATTATCAGTAGAAATTTTCTTAGGTCCAGGTGAGCGCATACGAAAAGTACTTACAGAATGACCTGTAGGAATAAATCTGTCTGGACTTGAACGCAATGATTTAATAATTTTTGAAGGTGTAGTTTGGATAGACGACATCAATTTTGTTGATTCAGAAATTATAACAGAAGTTGATGATGATAAACCTAAACTACTAGATGTATTTCAAGAGTTTTCCCTCCTAAATTCTGTATTAGAAGATATTTTATGTTTATCAAAACAAATGCTAATTTCTTAAACTATAATGTATATAGCTTATCACCACAAAATATAACTTTTAAAAGAATATAAAGCTTCGTAAAAGCAAAGCTAGCTATATCATATAAAGCAAAAATAAATACGTATCGATCTTATCAAAAACTTTATTAATTTCTATAGTTTAATTTTCTAGCGTAAATAGATAATCCAATTTAAAAATTAAATATGGTTTTTAAAAACAAATTTATTTATCAATAATAATCTTTTTTAGCATAAAAATACATCAAAAAAGAAGACACTCAAAGAAATAGAGTTACTTTTAAAAGATATTCAGAAACATGTAAACATTTATTAAATTTTTAACTTTGACTAAAAATATTTATAGATTAAAAATAAAAACTATGACTATGAAAAATTGGCTCTTACAACAGAATTTTTAAAAGAGGAATGTGAAAATTATACTATATGGAATTATAGAAGGAATATTTTTAAAAATGGGGTTCTGCTTCATACAAAATATGATAAAACTGCCATACAAAACATTATTTTAAAAGAATTGCAATTTTTAAATGAATTGATAAAGGAATATCCAAAAATATATAATATTTGGTCTCATAGAAGATGGTGTTTTGAAAATACACCATTTCCTATTTGGGATCAAGAAAAGGCATTTCTAGACCTTGTATTAACCAAAGACAGTAAAAATTGTAACATAATTTTTATATCTAATTATCTATTTATATACTAAATAAAAAAATATAGTTCATGCTTGGAACTATCGACAATATATAATTTCCATGCTTGAAAAACAAAATAAAACTTCATATGTAAAGGATGAATTAGATTATACTACAACTGTTCTCAAAAATGACTTCTCTAATTTCAGCGCTTATCACTATAGAACAACATTGATACCTCGCTTTATAAACGAATTGTCTTATGATTATTTGGAGAGAAAGCATTTTTTTGATGAAGGTATTATTAATACCAATAATATTTACATTTATCCGGTTAATTAGAATTATTTTTAACTAAATCTATTATTTATACATCTCCTGATAATTGCAGTATATGGACCTATCATAATTGGCTATTAAATAGTATATGTAAATTAAACGACTCCTTATTATTAGATGATGTTACAGTTAAACTAAATTATATTAATCAAGAAGTTAAAATGATAGAAGATCTAATGGAGTTAGAGCCAAACAAGAAATGTATGTCTATAACATGAAATATTCGTCTTTTTAATTTATATAATAAGATTTAATGAATGCATATATCAATTATAATATACTGCTTTTAAAAACGTCAAAAAATAAGTTAAATATTCCAAAAAAAAGGATGATTGAAATCGCTACAAAACTAAAGGAATTAGATTTTCTAAGAAAAGGAAGATATAATGATTTAAGTATATATATAATTGTTATTAAAAATCCTATTAATATTATAGTATTGAATTTTGAAAAATTATAATATACTAACAAAGTAAATACGAATATTATTTGTAATTTCATGTTAGGAAATAATAACATTAATAATTATATTAATTTATAATAATAAAAAATGTAGATCATAATATATTAAAATACTTCATTAAATTAAATTAAAACATCATTTTATTTTTCAATGATATCGTGTAAATTTTTATATTCTATCCTTTATAAAGGTGCTTGTGTAAATAAAACAGATACGCTAATATTATTAAATAAAACTATTTAAGCATTATAACCTACCTTTCGCCATAATGTATTCGCCGAATACATTCAGCTAATACAGGTGCAATATCTATTGTTTCTATTTTACTACATAAAGCTTTTTTATCATCATGAGGAATTGTATTTGTAACTACCACCTTTTCTAATTGGCTTTCGTTTATATATTGAATTGCATTTCCACTTAAGATTCCATGCGTGACTACAGCTAAAACAGATAATGCGCCATTATTCATAAGAGTCTCAGCAGCATGAGACAATGTTCCACAAGTATCTACCATATCATCAACAAGAATAGCAACCTTTCCTTTAACATTTCCAACTAAAACCATTCTTGAAACTTCATTTACTTTTTGTCGTTCTTTATGAATAAGAGCAAAGTCGAGATCAAGACGATCAGCAATAGCAGTAGCTCTAAAAACTATAAAATAAAAATATTTGAATCAATAAATCTACCTTTTTGCACCCCCAGCATCAGGAGAAACAATCACAGCATTTTTATAATCAACCGTTTCTTGAATATATTTAAGCATTGATGGCTCAGCAAAAAGCTAATTAAATAAGCTAAAGCAAAAATAAATCTATGATACCCTACACTAAAAAGGAATTAGTCATAAATACTCTTTTCATAAATAAAAACATACTTATCAACAGGAACATCAAAAAATCCTTGAATTTGAGAAGCATGAAGATCCATAGTCTTTATAAGAATTAATCAAAAAAAAAAAGAAAAGATGTATACAATTATATGATTACATCCAACGGTCTGGAGCATATTTGCAACTAACTTTGCAGTTATGGGTGCACGACTTTTATCTTTTTTATCTTGTCTCGAATATGGGAAACAAGGTATAACAGCAGTAATCTAAAAATTGTTATCACAGTTATGAAAACATACATTCAAAATATACTCTACGAGCAGATGCAGTTTTACAAGCATTAATCATGATAAGTAATTCCATTAAATGATCATTAACAGAGTCACATCCAGTTTGAATAATAAAAACATCTTCATCTCTCACAGATTCACCTTTTTTCAAAAAAATAAGAAAATATATTTCAAAAATCCAATAATTACCTATTGAAATAGCCATCTCCTGGTTAGAATATTTTGTAACATTTATTTTACCAACTGTAATACCAATCCTATACAGAACAAATTGAGATGTATTCAAAGAAAAATACACACCAACCTCTTCGCAACTTTTTCCGCTAGTTCAGGATGACTATTTCCTATCTATTTATTAACATAACATGATCAAAAAAAAATCAGTAAACCAGAAAAAATCTTAATAGAATTTAAAATCATCAAAAAATGAGTAAGTTATACAAAAAATCAACCAGAAATACAAAAATCTCTGAAATTCAAAGGGCCCTCACAGCTATTTTAATAATAAAATCCTCCAATGTCTTAAAAGAAATAATATTAAAAATTCGTAAAAATAAAAAATAATATAAATGTATAAAAATAAATACAAACTATACATGATAAAAAATGCAATAAACGACCCCTAAACTATTTTTTTAAGGAACATGAACGCTTCTTTTTGATCTCAGCCTTTTTGGCTTTTTGTTCAGCGATACGCTTGCTAAGAAGTAAAGCATATTCAGCTGCAGCCTGTCTTTGTCTCTCAGAAGCCTCACGTTTAAGCCGAAGGCGCAATCTCTTACGTTGAAGCGTTTTAGGCCTATAAACATAAAAAACTAAACAAATTTAAAATAAACATACGTTACAAGACGCTGAATCTTAGGTGCTTTAGTATAAGGTTTTTTACCTTCACCTTTAGGAACAACTTCACGACGAATAACAAACTTTCTAACATCATCCTCTTTGCTTAAATTAAAAAAACGCCGAATCTTAGACGCTCTTTTTGGACCAAGTCTTTTAGGATTTGCAACGTCAGTTAAACCTGGAATATCTTTTTCACCCTGTTTTACAATAACCAAACTCATAACCGAAAGATCATTTGAAACAATACAACCACGGACACTTTTTCTTACTCTTTCTCCATCGCGCCGAGGTCTATAACAAGAATGTCCTTTTGATAACAAAAGTCGAACTCTTGATGAAAGAAGCACACCCTGCTTCATTGGAAACCCTTGCTTATCATTGCCACCAGTAATCTTAAATACATATCCCTTAAATTGATCATCTACTAAGTCTCCTGGCACTTCTTGGCCCATACGTTTCTCCATAAATACTCGGCTAAATCATTATTTTAAGTTCCTTAAAACATTTAACCTACAGCTTCCGCTCATCATCAATATCAATGAGCTTCTGAGTGCCATTTGCAGGATAGGCAATATTCAACTGTGATCTTATCAGTATTTTTCATGCAATTTTTCTAACTGAATACCTTCATCGTTAATTTCTAAACGAGATGGTGACTGTTGTAAAAGATTTAAGGATTAAACCCTATACCAGTTTAAAATTATAAATTTAAGATCAAGTAACCTTTAAAACATTAATAATAAATAATTATTTAATTTATTTTTTTAAAAAGATAAAAAGCTTTTAAAATTTTCTAAAAAAGAAAATGCTTTATTAAAACTTTATGGAATCAACAATTGATACATTAATAAAAGATTTACGTTATCAACTTAATTTTATTAAAATTGATAATTTAGAATTAAAAGAAATTAAACAAGACCTGGATGTTTTTAAAGGAAAAATAAGTATAATTCGTGTTAATGAATTATTAAAGAGAATTTCAAAAGAAAAAGAAAACGATATAAATTGGCTAATATTATCATTTTGTACAATTAATGTTTATGAACATTTTCTAGGATACTTATTTAAACATACATTACCTATTTCTGAAGGACTTATATATTGGGATAAAATTGCTTCAAGTCCATGGTTATCTATAATTTATCTTTTACAGAGTCAGTATTTATTTTCCAAAATCAATGCTTATCTTAATAATAGCATTACCATTACGGATTTTCTCATTTATCCGTCATAATTTCATTTTCTCTCAAAATAATTTTTCTTTTCAAGTTTTTAGAAACATAAAGAAACATATTCAAAATAGATCGCTTTTTCATAAAATAGCTTTTCCTAATATATTTATACATGAAGGATCGCAATTGCTACCTATTTATAGCCTTATACGTCATGAAATTCTAGAAAAACAAAAATATCTTCTAAATTTACAAAAACAAAAAGCAATAGCTATAGGTTATCTTATGAACATTAGCTTCGACTTAGAAAAAAACTGGAAAGAAGTCACAGTTAAAAGAATTGAGCTTCTATCTAATTCAATATCACAAATATCTGAAAAAGAACATAAAATATTTTTTCCTAATTCACTAAGTTCTACTGCTACTTTTCTAAATGATATAATAAATAATATTACTCAAATTCAGCAAATGTCCTCATTACATATACGTAACTATGGTCGTCCATCTATATTTATACGATACTGGCTTCCAGTTTTAATTTTTTCTTTCTCAGCATCTAGTATTTTTCAGATTGTATTATCTAAAAAAAAAGCACTATCTGAATGGCTTAAAGAATTTATTAAAACGTCAATAAATTTCTGGAAAAACTGGGTTATTTCTCCTATTGAAAAAATTGTTAGTATAATTCATCATGATAGACAAAGCGAAATTGCTCTCATGAGTAAAAAAAGTCTTGAAACTGATTTACAAAGTCTAGAAAGAATGGTTGTAGATTTTGCTATAGATAACCCAGCTTATTCACAAGAAAAAAGTATAGAAACACTAAGAGAAAATGTAAGATTAGGGGATTTAACTTCCACATTATTAGCATATGAGAAACATATGAAAACACCAATAAAATCCATAATAACAGGGAGATTAATTCGTAGTTTACTTATTCAAATACAAAAAACAAAGGTTGATGTAGAAGTTGTAATAAATGGAATAGATAAATTATTAAAAAGTCAAGAACTTGTATTTGGTTTTATCGGAGTGATGCCAGGACTAACAGTATGTTACCTTATACTAAAATATTTTTTTGGTATTTGGAACAAAAAAAATATTGCAAAAAAAAGACTAAAAACTAAAATTCTTCCTAGTCTAAGGCATATATACACTTAATATTTTTTTTATTAATAACATTAGAAATATCGAACGTATTCTTCTTATGAGCAATAACCAGGACACCCTTTCTTACTATGATCTAGGTCTTTTGCTATGTGAGGTCCAGGTTCTTCGCTCATATGCATCTGCTCTTCCTGCAAATGTACATACAAGTTATCTTCAAGATTTACATGATCTTGAAAATATAAAAACACTTAAAATAACTAATCGACTACGTGTTGTAGATCGTATTTTAAGATTACTTCAGTAAACACAAGAATACAGTTTACACTTTAAAACTATATAAGATCTCTTATTTTATCTTTTTTCTTGAATGATTTTTCATTTTTTTTTTTTAAATTTTGAAACGGAACTTTAAAAATACTTTAAATAAAAATTACAAGAAAAACCTGAGGAAATAGGAGAAAGACGTATATTATGAATAGTTTACGAACAGGAAACTATGATTATTTGATTAAGGTGCGTTTTTTTTTTTAAAGATTAACGAAGGATATATTTAAACAAATCCGTAATATATATAAAAAATGACAAATAGATTCACAAAGATTTATTTTTCCCCATAAAATAACATAACTAATTGTATATATTTTATAGTTACTTCTTATTGGCGACAGCGGTATGTTTTTTTAAGCAAATTTGTTTTTTTGACAAAACATCTGATAAAATTCTTTAAAATATTAATATATACATCATTTTTTTCACTATTTGGAAATCCTAATACGCTTATTCTAATATAGGTGTTGGAAAATCATGTCTTCTTTTGAGATTTAGTGACGATTTTTTCACACCAAGTTTTATTACAACTATTGGCATTGATTTTAAAATTCGAACCATTGAACTTGACGGGAAACGGATTAAATTGCAAATATGGGATACTGCTGGTATAAATATTTCTTTTATTTTAGGAATATTTCGTTTAATAAAATTAACAAAATAGGTCAGGAACGTTTTCGAACAATTACAGCAGGTAGTATATACTTTTTTAGTTACTAAATATTGACAATCTTTTAGCTTATTATCGTGGTGCAATGGGAATTCTTATTGTTTATGATGTAACTGATGAAAAATCATTTCAAAGTCAGCTTTTAGTTTTTCATAATTATTTTATTAATTTTCATAGATGTTAGATTATGGGTTTCAAATGTTGAACAACATGCCTCTGAGGGAGTAAATAAGATTCTTGTTGGAAATAAATGTGATTGGGAAGAGCGAAGGGTCATTTCAGAAGAACAAGGACAAGCTCTTGCTCAAGAGTTTGGCATACCATTTTTAGAAACAAGTGCAAAATCGAATATTAATGTAGATGATGCATTTTTCTGTCTTGCTCGGTATACATTTTTTTTCTATTTCATAATCTCATCTGTATAGGGGTATTAAAAAACGGCTAATTGATTCTCAAGAGAATCGCATTTCAGAAGGATCTAATGTCCTACTGGATAAAGCAAATAGTATTTCTAAGGGGAGCTGCTGCTAAATGTTTTCTTTTATATTTTCTATTATGATCTATACTTTTTACACAATTACATGCCATATCACATCGATTCTTAAATTTCTTTGACATTAAACTCTTAAACATTTATTCTGATTCCATTTTTCCTATAATATTGACTATTGCTTATAAACAGCAATATCATTATCACATTAAACTCATTTATGTAAAAATGCGGAGTTTTTTTATATTTCTATTGATCTGCATATCAATTTATTCAGATTATTTATCTAAAAATTTCAAAATATAGGTTTAATAATGCTAGTATTTTTATATTTCAATACTAAGGAATCAAGTTTTTAAAAAAATTCATAATTTCTATTTTTTCAATAAATCATTTATTTTTTAACAATTTTAATATAATATTTATATTAAACCAAAATAATTTTTTAAAATATAATATAAATTAAAAAAATCGCTAGAATTCAAAATGTATTATAAATATAACAATATATACACCTGTAATAAGATGCGGACTAAAATAATTTTTATTTGAGTTTTTATAACATTTTACTTATTAAAAACAAACCAAAATATTACCAATAAATCTATAGTTATATTATATTAAATTCTACTTGATTATATCGTTAAGGTATTCGTTTTTATAACAATTTAGTGTATATTTTTTATAACTTTTTCTTTAAATCAGTTTCCTATTTCAAACTTATATAAATAAAAAAGAATGAAACATATATGGAATTGGTTTAAGAAGGTACGTATTATTTTTTTTTAAAAAAAAATAAACTTTAGAAGGATTCTTCAACAAATTCATATGAACGAATTCTTTCACAATTAGCATTGGAGATAAATCATCATGAATCACGTTTATCTACATTTAGGCTTCGCTCTGTACGTGTCAAAAGACTTTTTACTTTATATTGTACAATTCTATATCTTATTTATTTCTTAATATGGGTTTTATTTTATATGCGGAACACAGAAGATATTGAAAAATGGTTCCTAAGACTTTCCATCCTTATTATCTCTCTCTTTTGGTAATCGTAAAATTATCTTTAAATATATTATTTATTATTTTAGTATTTATTTTGGACGAGTAATTTTTACCATTTATTATACAAAAATGATTTCATCAGAAGGTAAAGACATGTAAAATCAAAAACAATTCTGATAAATATTGTTTAAGAATCAAGTTTAGAACTTTTGAGAACTAAGCAACATGAAAAAGTAGAAGAACTTAAAGCTAAAACAAATTTTTATTCAACACAATCATTAATTGATCGATATTCTGGATCTCAAAGAAATACACCAGAAAAATCTAGCATATCTTTACTTGATCTTAATGATTCTGAGAAAAAAACACCAAGACATAGCTTTTCATCTCCGAGCGTTGATTTTTCACGGCCTACTTTCCAGCATTTAAATCAACAAAATCAAACTTCTAATCTTCGACTAAGACACACCAATAACAGCAATACGGATAACTCTGTTCATGAATCTTTTTTTGCAACTTCTGATACACCGTTTCCTATTGATTCTTACACCAAACTATCTCAAGATAATTCATTTATTTCTAGGATTTTAAATTTTATCATTGGTCCAGATGAAACATCTCCTGAAAATAGATATGCTTTAATATGTAAAAAATGTGGAACTCATAATGGCTTAGCTCCATATGGAGAAAAATGGGAATCAATTAAATACATCTGCATGAATTGTGGAATATGGAATGGAAATATAAAGCAAAATTCAAAAGATATAAAAAATACTGAAGATGCTTTAAGCATATCTAATGGTACTCCAAACCTAAATGAAACAATTGAAAATCAAAAAGGAATGGACTTCAAAACATCAAAACCAGATAAAACAAAACTATTAAAGCAAACTACCAAAACTACATAATTAAAACATATCAAATATGCATATATATATTTATCAAAAAAACTAAATTACATATATCTGTCTTTTATGAAATAAAGATCTATTATAATTCCTAATTATTTCATATTATACAGATCACATACTTTTCTACAGGTGGCTTGAAGGGTTATATACCTTTAAAGGAAAATTTATATTTATTAAAGTATCTAAAGTGAGCATAAAAGTATTTTTCTATAATATATCATTAATAACGTGTATATAATGCAATATAGTTTACTTTATTTGCTGTAAATCTCCTATGTTTTGCATGCTTTATATTTATCTCTGGGCTTTTTTCGTTAAAATGCATTAAATCAGAAATCTCAGAATCTTTTGATGAAGTTTTATCTTCTATATTATAATTATTTTTTTCCTGAAAGGCACAATTCTTACTAAGTTTTAATAATTTTGAAATAACTTTATCTAAAATATTCATTAATCTTTAAATACAAATATCGACTGTTTTTATTTAAATCTTTTAAAATTATGAAACAAATTAAAGCAATTGACATCCTTTTATAAATATTTCAATGTTCATTATTCTAAATTGATCACTTAAAAATCTTTGTTTCAAAGCAATTATTCGATTTTCTTAATTATTATCAATTCGACTATATATTTTTTCGTTATCTAAATTTCCTAATCAAGATATCAAATAAAAGATAATAAATGTATTATATATTTCTATAGATCTAATATATTCAAATAATTACATATTTTTAGACTATGTATATATTTAATTATTTTCTTTCTATTATTTTATACACTTAAACATTTTAAATTATACAAAAAATTGTAAAAATTTAATCATTTTCTTTTTTGAAAAACATAAATATTGTAAAAATCTTTATATCTCTTTTAATAAAAAATACTGGTTCTCTCCTAAATTCATTTTTCTTTTAAATTAAAGATATTTTATCATTTATATACTATATATTTTTCAAACGATACTAAAGTATATACAAAATATTTGAAATATGACTTATAATGTTTATCTTCTATTTATTTATGTTTGAAAACACAAATAAATATTTATAAAATGTCATTTTAAACTATTTATATATTTGAATAGTTTATAAATATACGAAATTTATAAAAAATAATTTAAGGGTTTAATAAATTTATTAAAATTAAGCGGTTGTTAAAAATTATTATTCATTAAAATAACGTGTTTATAAGAATTATAATAATTAATTTATCATATTTTAACATAGGATATCAACAATTTCTTTTTAAAGAACAAAACTAAATTCTAAATAATCATTATCATTTTTTTTTAGTATGGAAAAAAAAGATATGGTATTATCATCATATGCATCCAAAGGAAGTTTTCGTACAGCAAATTCTCAAATATCTGAAAATGAGTGTAACACGGATGAGTCTCCCTTAGATATTTCAAATACATGTGTAGAAAATGCACGACATTCTAATCAACCATCATTTGATTCTACATCTACAATTAGGTGTTCATCATCGAATATAAGTCATCAACAAAATAGAAACGCGAGAAACTTTGCATCATCATCAACATATCCATGTAGAAGTGGATATAATCAGCGGACAGTTTCAGCAACGTCAACTACATCATCAACTAAACAAATCAATTCGCGCAATCCTCGTTACAAAAGACATATTGTTAGAGTTATATCACATCCACAAAGAGGATATTTTTCAGCAGAAGACGATGAGAATGAAATTGAAGCAGACGAAGAGGCGTTTTTTTCAGAATTCGAATCAGAATTTCGAAATAAAACATTAAAAAAAAAAGGCTTTAAAAAAGATTATGGAAAAAACAAAGCAATTATAAATGAAATAGATGAGGATACTATTGGAGAGGAGTATGAAAGTTTTGGAAAATTAGTGTGTGATAATCATAACGATAATGAAAGTATCTCTCATAGTATCGACAGTGAGGGAAGTTTTACTTTAAAAGAAAGACAAGGTCTATGCTATTCCTTTATATATAAATAATATTCTAATTTCTTCAAGATGCAATTAATAAAACTCATCCTTTTGGTATTAGACTTTGGAAACCAGCTTTATATAAAAAAACACGATCTGTACAAAAAACTGCAGAAGGCGATATTCACTCTACTCCAGGAGAACCTATTTTTTCTAGAGATCTTATAGGTAATATTCTCTGGACGATATGCTTTGGATGGTGGCTAGCTTTAGTTGCTTTAATAACATCATTTATTTGCTATATATTCATAATTGGTCAACCCGACAAAGATTATAGTCGAGTACTTCGGGGATTATCTTGTTATGTCTTTTATCCTTTTGGTCAATATGTCGAACTAAAATCTGAAGAAGCGTACGCGGAAGAAGACGAAGGAGAAGGACATAGTATAAGCGAATATACTGATTTAGAGATAGCTAAACATAATAATTTACATATTCAAAGAATTATTGGTAGACGAAGAGATAGCATTGATAGTATGTCAGACACGGAGAGTTTACTTGGTTGTTTTCATAGATCAAATAATATAAAAAGAAAAGGACGAAGAAGATTATTTGGAAGAGGTCAATGGTCATTTGGACGTATAGTATTTTTTCTACTTTTTTATTTAATAATAGGTATATTTTTATGAAATTTTGGTAAATTTAACTCCTATTAGCACCACTTCTTTTACTTGTATCTGCATTTTGCTGGTTAATAGTTTTTGCAATGCCAATGGCAAAAGTAACTTATTTACTATTTGACCATATGAGACGGCATCCTTTATCTGTAGTTTTTCATTCAGACTTTCGCCGGGGAGAATTTTCAAACCCAACAATTTTAGTATGTACATATCGTGCGTTTGGTTTAAAATATTACCAATATACAGTGGATGGAGTAAACATATTTTTTATAAACTTGATGTTTATAGTTTTATTTACTATTTCAGACGAATATATCTTAGGAAGCATTTTTGGACACAATTATTTTATTACATCATCAGCAACTATATTTGTTCTTTCTCTTCTATCAATTGTATCTTTATCATATCTTGTTGGTATGGCTGTTGCATCTATTTCTGCACAATCGTCCATTGGTATGGGTGCAGCTATTAATGCCTTCTTTGGCTCTGTAGTAGAAGTTTATCTTTATTGCATCGCACTAAATCAAGGAAAAGCTAGATTAGTAGAGGGAAGCATAGTTGGTAGCGTGCTTGCAGGCGTTCTTTTAATGCCTGGTTTATCAATGTGTGCAGGGGCTATACGAAGAAAGACACAAAGATTCAATGCTAAATCTGCAGGCGTTACGTCTACAATGTTGTTATTTGCAGTTATCGGGGCATTTGCACCCACCTTGTTTTATCAAATTTATGGAACAGTATGTCTTTTTTTCTTTTTTATACATTAATTTAATAAAAATAGTACGAATTAAAATGTTCACCATGTTCAAGTAGTAAATATATATATAATTGTCAAAGGTGCAAATTCGACCAATCATATGCACCTGATGATCCATTTTACAAAAATTCTGTAAAACCATTTACATATATATGTGCATTAACTCTTATTCTTTCATACTTAATTGGATTATGGTTTACATTAAGAACTCATGCAGCAATGATATGGCAAACTCCTATTACAGCTTCTGCTTTAGATACTCCTAAAGAGAGTATTACTTCTCGATTGATTAAAACACCTATACGAGAATCTCAAATTTTCAAAAAAATAATACCAAAAAGTTTTCTGGAACATCAATTTAATAAAAGACTTAATAGCACATTTCCATCATGTGATAATGATAATATATGCCGTCAAAATACTACTTCACAAAATCATCCTCATGATTCTTTAATTTCATATATGCAAGACTCTTATAAACCAGAAGATGCCATTCATAATGAAACAAATGCTTTTATTAATTCTATGGGCTTAGCAATGGATGTTCAAGAATCAATGATTCAAAATCAAGGTAATCACGAATATAAACAAACACAAAACAATAAATTCAGAAAAAATCTTATACATTCTCAAAGTTATTTACATGAACTAGAAGGAAATGAACATGAAAGTAACACAGGACATGGTGCACCTAGCTGGAGTCTAAAAAAAAGTACATTAATACTTTTGACATCAACGTTGCTATACTCTGTAGTGGCAGGTATTTTAAAATCCTATTATTTATTTAGTTTATATATTTTTTTTTTAGAAATGTTAGTTAATACAGTAGATGTAGTTCTTCAAAATTTTCATATAGATGAAAAATTTTTGGGATTCACTTTATTTGCATTGGTGCCAAATACTACGGAATTTATGGTTTTATAACTAATTTTATTTTTTATATTCTTACAGGATATAGAATGCTATATCATTTGCAACTAATGGAAATATTGCTCTAAGGTAAAAAAGTAACTTCATAAACTACTTTAAATCAATAATCATAGTATGGAAATTGGCTCAGCATATGCACTTCAAGTGTGCTTACTACAGATACCATGCCTTGTTGCATATAGTGCTTTTAGAAATATCGGGAGACAGGAACTATTATCCTATACTTTCAGGTTTTAAATAATTATAATAAAATATTACCAATTTAACATTTAAAGTTTGGTTTTTCCACGATGGGATCTTATTTGTGTAATTCTTTGCGTATTTCTTCTAGCTTATGTGTATAGTGAAGGTAAAAGTAATTATTTCAAGGTAACCATTTCTCTTTTTAAAAATAAATATTAATTTTCAGGGTTCTATTTTAGTATTAAGTTATACGGTTCTTCTTATGGGTTATTATTTTACACCTTTCAATTTACAAAACTTCTCTACATTCATATATAAAACAAATATATAAGAAAATAACATAATAATTAAAACAATCTAGTAAATAACAGAAATATAGAATATATAAATTATTTATTGCATTCAGATTTGAAAAAATATTCTAAAATAATTAATACATAAGCTATTATGCAAAAATAAATCAATAGTTTAAAATTAAGCATTAATAAAATGAAGCGATGCTTCAGATCCAAAAATAAGAATACCAATTATTAATCATTTCATTTTTCATAATTAGCATGAAAATAATCATCTTAAGCATATATTGCTTTTTAAAAAACTAAATTATAAAACTACACATTACCTTTTTTCAAAAAAAAAAAGTCATATAATTTTAAATCATAATCAAATAATTTGCAAACAGATCAGAATGAATTATTTTCATCAAATAAATCAGAATTTGATAGTACACAATTTCAATCATCATGTTTTTCATTTGCATCATTTAAAAATAATATATAATTAACATAGACCTCATTCTACCTTATGGTTAGAATATTTATAAAAAACAACCATTTAATAACTATTTAGTAAAGTTTTATATAATATTTCAGAAATAATTAACTTTTTATTCAACATTGCAATAAAGTTTCTGTCTGGGGCGACAAAACTTGTCATCATATTACTTAACTTTTTTTATATTAAATACAACATTTTTATCTTACCTTTATCCGCAATTTTTTTATAAAACATTAAAATTTAATCAAAACTTCTCTAATTTCCAAGAGTTAAAATGAACTATTTTGTACGAAAAAAATATATTTCCAATACAAGCAAACTTTCTCAAAAAATAATCCAACTTAATAAAACTATTCATAAATATCCTTTTTTATTATTTGGTATGCCTTTCATAACAACAATATTAGGCGGTGCCTATGTATTAAGTATATCTCAGCAATTTCGTTATGACAGTAGAGATCAAAAGATAAAACAAGTAATTCATTTATTCTCTATAATAGTTTTTTTAATCGGTAGATTTCAGAAGAACAAGCTTTAGGCATGAAAAAAAATCGCCGAAAAATAAATATTAAAGACGAATACTATGTAAATTTATATTTTTGAAAAGTATATCCTCTTATATTTTTTTTAGAAACTTCAAATGAACGAAATGATGTTAAATGATTGGGAACAAGTTAGAGTCGAAAGGTTTCCTGGGGAACCAGATAATATATTGTCATCTCAAAAATAATAAATTATCTTGATATACTATAAATAACTCTAATACAAAAATTCAAAATATACATTTTTGGAGAAGAGAATTGATTAATCATGAGTCACATATTCCATCAATTCTTTATCGTCATAACTAATATATCTGCCACTTAATTCTTTCTTGGCATATAAAGCTAGAATTACAATAATTCTTGCAGAGTCTTCTGGCGAAATCAATTGGCCTGTTTGATGAAGATTCATAAATCTAGCATGCATATCTTTATCTAGATTTGAGACGTCTATATACAATTTAGAACATATCGTTTAAAAAAAATAATACGTTTTTCTCTTAGGGATGTTTGCATTTGTGTATCTACTACTCCGGGTCGAAGAGAAACAGAAGTAATCGAACTTTCTTCAATCGCCTATTTTTTAGAATCTTAAATATTATTGTAAAAAATATTACCAAAACAGAAGATAAATGATTCATAGCAGCCTTTGATCCACTATACGCACCCATACTCTATAATTTTTAATATTAGTTTTCTTACAAAACTAAACAAAAAAAAAGAACCTTATATGGATTTGTAGATGCACCAGAAGAAATAAAAATTACTCTACCACAAACTAATCGTAAATATGGAATTGCACTTTTCAACTTTGCCCATTATTTTTTCATAAAACCCAGGAAAAAACCTACCGTATAAAGAAGAGAAAAGTAATTCACATCAAATAGAGCTTTCCATGATTCTACATCAATATCTGCAATTTTCCCAATAGGTTCTACAACCGCCGCATTCAAAATAAGAGAATCTAATCGTCCAAATCTTTGTATTGCCGTATTAACCGAATCAACACTCGTCTTCTCATCCTTAAGATCTCCTTCAACAACTGCTATCCGAGACTCATATTTCTCTTGCAATGTAGCTAAAGACGATCTACATCGCACTACTGCAACTACAAAAGTATATTCATAACTTTTAAGCAATTCTTCCACAACTGCTCGGCCGATCTTTTAAATACATTATTATAAGATTTACTTAATTTTCTTAAGAAAAGATACCCCTCTTGAAGCACCTGTTACAAGTCTAAACTTAATATTAGAAACATATCCATATTAAAATACACTTAAAAAATAACAGAAAGGCTTACATTGTCTTATTTAATAACATTTTTTTCCAAAAATTTTACTATTTTTTATTATTAAGTTGTTAAGACTAAACGTTAGTTTTTTTATAAATTTCTAACGTCTCTTTAATTTTTAATATTTATTCTAATGAACAAATCTATGCGTGGATTAACAGTTTTTATAAGCGACTTAAAGAATTCAAAGACTTGTCAACATGAGGAAGAAAGAATTAATCAAGAATTAGCCAATATTCGGAATAAGTTTAAAGGTTTGTTTTAATTTTTATTAAATGTTATTAACTAATATCTAATGAAACAGTTGGACATTTAAACAGTTATCAGAAGAAAAAGTATATTTGCAAGGCAAGAACTTGAAAGTTTAAGGAACCAAAGATTAATAGAATCTAAAGTTATTATATATTTATATTCTTGGATGGGAGATTGATTTTGGACATATGGAAGCGGTTCATCTTATTTCTAGTCAAAAGTACTCGGAAAAGCAAATTGGATATCTTGCTATAACGTTATTATTACATGAAAAACATGATTTAACATGTCTTGTGATTAATAGTATTAAACAAGATTTATTAGACCCAAATGAATATTATAATTGTTTAGCGTTACATGCAATTGCTAATATTGGAGGAAAGGAAATGGGGGATATATTAGCGTCGGATGTGAACAGATTACTTGTATCTCCGTAAGTATGAATTTTTAAGTATATATGTTGAACTAATTATTAAGTGTATCTAAAAATTTTGTTAAAAAAAAAGCATCTCTAACTCTTCTTTGTCTTCATAGAAAAAATCCAGATGTTATTAGGCAAGAATGGGCAGAAAGTATTATATCTACGCTGGATGATCCAGACTTAGGAGTATCATTATCTATAACAAGCCTTTTAATTTCTCTTGCTCAAGAAAATAGTAAATTATATGAAAGATGTTACCTTAAAGCTATCAATAAGCTAAAAAGAGTAATATATTCATGCTACATTATTTATGATACTAAACATAGGTAGATCGTTATTGATAGAGAATATAGTTATGATTATGTATATTACAAAGTACCAGCACCCTGGCTTCAAATCAAGCTTTTACGTCTTTTACAATATTATTCACCTCCAGGTTTAATATTTTTTCATGCATAAAATTATTCTTATTTCATATTAGATGACAAAGATACTCAAGAGTTAATATGCAAAGTTTTGCAATTCATTATATCATCTATACTTCATGAATTACCAAAAAATGTTCAACAAAATAATATTCAAAATGCAATTTTATTTGAAGCAATTAATGTTACTATTCATATTGATATCGATGAAACATTAACAAATCAAACTATTCATTTACTAAGCAAATTTATATCATATAAAGAAATTAATAGTAGATACCTTGGATTAAAAGCTCTAATTTATTTAGCAGAACATGTAAATACTTTTGAACCGTTCAGGAAATATCAAGATATAATTATACAGTCTTTAAAGGATAAAGACATAAGTATTCAAAGAAAAGCTCTCGAATTATTATATTATACATGTGATTCCAATAATACAAAAACAATCGTTAATGAGTTAATTCACTATTTAGAAAACGCAAATAGAGGAATAAAAGAAGATATAGCTATTAGAATTGCTATTCTAGCCGAAAAACATGTAACAGAACGTCAATGGTACGTAGATATAATGCTACAACTCATAAATATTTCTAAAGAACATATTGGCGATGATATATTACACAGATTTATTCAAGTTATAGAAAATAACAAAGAACTACAAAAATATTCAGCAAAAACAATATTAAAATACTTAAAAAATAATCCTCATGAAAATATGATAAAACTTGGCGGATATATTTTGGGAGAATTTGGACATTTAATATCTGACTCTCCTGAAAGTAGTCCTATCGAACAATTTATTTCTTTACATATTAAATTTAATACATATTCACCCAAAACACAGGCATTACTTATGTCAACATATATCAAATTCGTAAATTTGTTCCCTGAAATCAAATTAGACATACAAGTTGTATTTGAAGAATATGCAAACAGTATTGATTCTGAATTACAACAACGTGCATGCGAATATTTAGCTTTATGTCATATGCCAAATAATAATCTTTTACAAGAATTATGTGGGAAAACCTACCCTTTCTTAAAAAATCAATCATTTTTAGTATCAAAACTACTAAAACAAAAAAATGAAGACAAAAGATTAGAAAATATTAAAGAAAAAAAGTCATCAAGAGAAAAAAACATAATAAGTACTAAAGACTTATCTAATTACAAAACAATTGATTTTGGTGAATTGGAGATACCTAAAAATAATTTAATTGAATTAGACACCTCAAACACTAATAGCTTATCATCATCTATTTCATCTTCTAGAGAATCTGATCAATCCATTAGTTTGTCAAATCTTATATCGGATATAAACTACGTATCACTGTCTGATAATTCTGATCTTTCTAAAAAATATGAAGCAAATTTTAACGAACTCTTATGTACCAATGAAGGAATACTTTATGAAGACGAAGAAATTGAAATATATATTCACTCTAAATATCGTAATCATTTAGGAAAAATGGAACTTTTATATAAGAATAAATCACAATTAACATATACTTCTTTCACATCTTCTATTCAAAATCTTTGCGAATCAAATCTCTCTATTGTTTCGACAATAGATGTTCCTTGTACCCTGGAGGCACTTAAACAAGTGCAACAAACATTAAATATTGAAAATCGTGATATTTTCTTAGAACCACCATCTATATCTATATCTTATATGTCTACATCTATGAAATCTTTGACTTTAAAGCTTCCTATTGTTCTTTCTAAGTTCTCAGATGGAGTAGAACTTGATTCGGGCGATTTCTTTCATAGATGGAGACAAATTGGAAAGTCTAGAGAATGCCAAAAGATCTTTGCTATTAAGGATAAAGAAAAAAATATCAACTTTTATGATAATGTAAAAATACTTCAAGGTTTTGGATGGGAGATTTTAAAAGAAATTGATACAAATAATCAAAATATAGTTGGTGCATCAGTATTATATACTAGTCAAGGAGGGAAATATGGTTCTTTACTAAGACTTGAGCCTAATTATGAAGCTAAGGTATTTAATAATTAAATTTAATATACATTTATTTTATAAATCTCTTAGATGTATCGAATTACTATTCGAAGTACAAAAGAAGAAATTGCAAATCATTTAGAATCATTAATAGAAAAGAAATTATCAGAAAATATTTAATCGAATATCATATAAATTATTTAAATACTCTTTGGATTTATAACGTATTCATATGTCGAGATAACCTTACTCCTATATTTTGATATTAAAACAGCATATACTATTAAAACAAAGAAAAATATACCAAAAATATCTGTACCAACTCTTATATTCGTTGAACCCATTTTAATAGCTAATTCAAAATCCCTGCTCATTCCCATACTTAATTCTAATTCTATACCAAGACATTTAGTAATATCATCTCGACATTTTACAAGTGCCTTAACAAAATTTATACAATAATAATAGCTTTTCAAAAAATACCTCAAAATCTCTATTATATTCACTATTACTTTCAGATAATGAACCGATAGTCATAAGACCCTTAAGATAGAGTTCTTTACAATTATTTATTATATAACTACATAATTCCATAGAATCGCCAATACTAACTCCATTCTTTCCTACATTATTTAAAAAAATCTATAATTTATTTTAAAACAAACCTTCTTCACAACTTGTATTTACTTGAACAAAAACATTAAGTTTTTTAAAATGATTATCTATTTTAGGAGATTTTTTCAAATCAATTAACGCCTTATTCAGTAAATATGCCTTTCTAGATGAATCTAGACTTTCAACTGCCCATAAATTGGGTATAGATGCCAAGGCTTTACACTTATTAGTTTGAAGTCCTATATATAAAAATAACTAATTTTTCTAATATCAATTAATTTACTCCCAATAAAGTGCCAACAACAATCCGGAGGAAGTAATTTAGCCTTTTCAATCATTTCTTGTACAAAGTTTTCTCCAAACTATATTTATAACTATACCAAAAAATATAAATTTAAGAAAAATACATGTCTTTGACCATAATCATAAGCAATTCTTATATCATCAACAGACTTTAACTTTGAAACTGCTACCAAGCGAACCTTTACTTGTATATTAATATAATCACTAAAAAAACTTGTATTACATCTTTGCCTTTAGAACATGAAACAATAGCATCACGAACACGTTTCAAGCCTAAACAAATTTCTTCAATACGAGATACATAACTCATTCTTTTTTAACTAAAAATCATTACAAGTTTTCCCTTATTTTTTTCAAACAATATTTCTTCAAAAAATCTTACAAATTAATAATATATCTTATTCAATCTACATAAATATTACATGATTTTCTACTAATTCTAATATCTAAAATATATTGAAATTTAATTTACATTTCTAAAGCTACAATTTTCTTACAAATAAGTATATAATACTTAATTTTTCTAATTTATATAAAATTCATTTAATATATATATATATAATTATTATATTTTTAATTATAATATATCTTTATATTCTCATTTTCTACTAAATTTACCACTAAAAATCCTTTTTATAATACAATTTTGTTTTATTTGATATTTTCTTAAACAGCAAGATCAAAGCTTAAAAGATTCAAAAACATCCAAAAAACAAAAATTAAATAAAACAAACAAAATTTTCTTCAATATCATTTAAAATTATTATTATTCATATAAAAAACAAATAAAAAATAATATAACTTATTAAACATTATAATTTAACATATATTTTTTAAAAAAAATATAAAATTAATCAGAAATTACACATTTAAAAATACATAAATATTGCTAATTATTTTATATTTATAGACTAATATTACAGACTTAAAAGCTTTAAGCACTAATTATTAAAATTAATAATTAATATTATAAACAAGATTTTAAAACTTATTAATTCCTAATTTACAGAGATTGAATAGAAAAAAAATACAAATATGTCTCGTCTTTGTAATAAAACAGTCTTTATTACAGGCGCAAGTTCAGGGATTGGAAAAGTATTTTAGGTGTTAATAGAATTCAATATATTTTATCATTTTAGGCATGTGCTTATGAATTTGCAAAGGCAAATAATACAGTTAAATTAATTATTTCAGCACGTAGGGACGTAACAAAATTAGCAGAGGATATAGAATGTAGTTTTCCGGGTGTTAAAGTCCTTCCTTTAAGATTAGATGTGAGCAAACCAGAAGATATTGAAGAAAAAATAGAAGGGCTTCCAAAAGACTTTAAAGACATTGATATTCTTATTAACAATGCGTAAAAATATGAGAAAATACAAAGATGTACTGACTATAATAGTGGTTTTGTAATTGGTCTAGATAGAGTAGGAGAAATTAACACAAAAATTATGATAGATATGTTTAACGTAAATTTTATCTTTTTAAATAAAAGAATTTAACAAATTATATAGACGAATGTACTCGGATTGATTAATGTTAAATATTTATATAATTTTATAATCAATTAACAAGTTTAGGTAACTCAAAAGATTTTAAATATCTTTCATCAAAAAGGCGGGAAAGGAGATATTATTAATATAGGCTCTATTGCTGGACGTGAAACCTATCCAAGTAAAGTATAATTATTAATATGATATTATAATAATTTTTTCATTATATAGATGGGTCTATTTATTGGTAATATATTTTTTTCATATAAAAAAAATAACCATAATCAAGTGCAACGAAAGCAGCAGTTCGATCATTTACTAATTCGTTGAGGAAGGAACTGATAAATACTCGTATTCGTGTAATGGAAATAGATCCAGGTTTAGTAGAAACAGAGTTTTCTATAGTCAGATTTTGTGGCGATAAAACTAGAGCAGATGCTGTTTATCAAGGCATGGAGCCTTTAACTGGGGAAGATATTGCAGAAGTAATTGTTTTTGCAGCAAGTCGACGAGAAAATGTTGTTATCGCAGATACATTGGTACTTTTACAAATATTTTTAGATATTTAATCTAATATATAGATTTTCCCAAATTGTCAAGCGAGTATTTCACATGTCCATAGGGAAAAACAACAGTAGATTGTATATTTTTAACATTTTTTTGATGTATATCTTTTCTATTTATTTACTATTTCTTAAAAATTAAATTCAATAAAAAGCTAGTTTTACGCAGTAAATTTATTCAAAAACTTATTTCTTTATAATATCAAAATACATTTAATTTTTAAAATCATTATTATGTTTAACTATTTATCATTTAAAGAAATTGTTTTTATGACCATAAAACGATATTTTTAAACATAAATAGCAACTTTTAAACAATTCTATAATTCAATTACCATAAAATTATTTTTAAAACCAACTATTAAAAGAGTTTTTCATAAAATCAAAGCCATAGCTTTGGAAATCTTCATTCTTAAAATCCAAATAGAACAATCCAAAATACCTAAAAAAAAACATAAGAAAATGAATTAACAATAGAATAAAACAAAAAAATACTTAATTCTAAACACATATTTATAAAAATAATTATAAATACTTTATAAATAATCGTGAAAAATATACAATTATAATAACCAAGAAAACTCATAAAATACTTGCAATTAATTTACATGTTAAATTTCAATTCCACACTTTTATCTCCATATATAATTAACGTTTCCGTTTTTCCGTTTGAGCTCTAAAACCAGTCTTTATTGCACTAACTGATCTTTTACTTCCGCATGATTCACATGTCATAAAATATATACGATTTTCTTTAGTTAATAAGGTATCTGGAGATTTGCAAATTTTACATGTAACATATTCAACTATATACCATTAAATATAAAACAATAATAAAAAAAAACCTATTATACCAATATATCTTTTAAGAACATTTTCAATTTGTTTTTGCTGAAATTTTCCCTTAATAACTAATCTAGCACTACCATCTACACTTCCACTCGTTCCTAATTCAGCAAATAAAAACTGAATAACATGTTCTGAATTTCGACGCATCCTTTTAGAAATATCAATAACATTAGCAAAAATCGTTTTCTTGTTTCCTTCTCGATAAATTGTAGGAGGAACAATTGTATACCGTTTTTTCTCCCCCGCTAATTCTGGATTATTTTGACGTAAAATTTTAAATATCTGAGCAAGAAGCTAAAGATTATTAAACTTAAAATCTTTTTTTCTTTAAACTTTTTTCATACTTCTGCATACGTAAAATCTCGATCTGTTTTAAGACATCCTTGACCTTCTTGATCCCCCGAATTAAATGATCCAGTAATTGCTTCCATATCCTCCTTACCATTCCCTTCATTCAATGACTTATCAAACACTTCCATATTCACTTTTTTCTTCTTTTTCATTCCATCACTTAAATCAAAAACCTCATTTAAAAAATCCTTTCCATCAATCTCTTCAAGTTCCTTCAAATCATCCTCATCTTCCCCTCCAAAATTAACTGTTTGCTGCTTCTTTTTCTTCAAACTAGCAAACATATTCGTCATCTCTTCTACCTCTGCATCTCCATCTATATTTCACCATAAATCAGTCAAAAAATACCCTTTTTTCGCCATTCTTTCACCTGACCCCATCTTACATTCATCTCCTGATCCATTTTTACCTTCATTCAGCGACTCATTGTCACTATTAAACGAAACTTTCTTGTTTTTTTTCTTTTTCTTTAATGTATCAAATCCAAACTAAATAATCAAAAAAATTCAGTATTTCTTAATAAACTATTATAAATTAACCTCTTCTATTAGAGAATAGTCAATTCTCTCCGATTCTTCTTGTATCTCCATCTCCCTTACTTTTTCCTTTCCTCAATTATATATAGACGTTGTATGGAAAACTTCCGATTAACCGACCACCAAATTCTATGGCTATTACAGGACTATAATCTGACCTATCTGTGCACAGGAATCATAATATACACAGGAACTTGAGGATATTCTGAGAGTTCTAATGAATTGATATTGTTGCCTGAAGAGATTGAAATAGTTTTTTAATTTTTGAATAATATTAAAGGATTAAAGAGATCAATATTTTTTTATAAAGGAGTATAAAAAGAGATAATAAAGAGATTCTATAGTATCAGGAAGATTTGGAGAGTGTTTTTAAGGGATATTTGAGTTTTTGAGGGACAAAAATAGGATATATAGAGAAAGAAATAAAAGAAAAAGCTTGTTTATAAGATTAATTTTTTTTTGAAAAAAAATACACAAAGTAGTAGTTTTTTTGATTAGAACAAAGTATTAGAAGGGGAAATATTGGACAAAAAGGTCTAGGAGAGTCTTAGGGATATTTTGGAATGCATAAAAAATTCCCATAAAAAGAGTAGTAATTATAAAAATAAGAAAAAAATACAAAGAAATTGATTGATATATTATTGGGAATTGAAGGTTAAAAAGGATGCATCATAAGGTATATTTTAAAAGAGGAGGATAATAGCTAAAAAGGATGATAGAAATCCGAGACAAAAAAATATAGAAAAGTGAAGAATAGTTCAAGGAAAGGATTATATATTGAAAAGAAGATAAGAAGTGTATCTAATAGGTTTATAGTAATAGAAAAGAGGTATCGGATTCGTTTATTTTAGAAGAGAATTCAACGTTGGAATATCAACATCCAAATGATTTACAAACGAGTTCTAATAAGGGAAAAAAAGATAGGAAATATTTATTGAAAAATGAAGAAAAACTTTTAGGGGAGGAGGATTTAGAGGATTATTGTAAGGGAGGGTATCATCCGGTGCAAATTGGGGAAAAATATAAGGATGGAAGATATGTGATTGTTAGAAAGCTTGGATGGGGGCATTTTTCGACGGTTTGGTTAGCTAAAGACAATGTGTAAATTAATATAAAACGAGATTTTAAAACACTTGACAAATTTTTAGGAAAAATTGTTATGTTGCACTAAAAATAGTTCGTTCAGCTTCACATTATACGGAAACAGCTCTTGATGAAATAAAACTTTTAAAAAAAATCAATACGGCAAATCCATCACATCCAGGAGCAGCTCATATTGTTTCCTTACTTGATGAATTTGAGCATCAAGGGCCTAATGGGACTCATATTTGCATGATCTTTGAAGTATTAGGAGAGAATTTGCTTAACCTTATTAAAAGATACGACTACAGAGGAATACCAATACCATTAGTAAAACAAATCACTAAGCAAGTTCTTTTAGGTCTAGACTATTTACATAGAGATTGTGGAATAATACATACCGACCTAAAACCAGAAAATGTTCTTATATGTATTAATAATGAGGAAGCAATTGCTCAAGTAGCTGATACATTTCAACTTACCCAAAGTGTTAGCCCTAATATGCAAAAGCCAAGGAATAATCCTATCGTAACAAATAGTCAACCGCTGATAAACTCTGATATTTTGTCATACAAGAATAATGTTAGAATTCATAATTCAAATAAAGAAACAAGTGATGAGCAAGTTTTAAAGAAAAAAAAATCAGATTCCAATGAAAATAATACCAGTATGACTGATAATGATGACGAAGCTCTTGAAAAAGATATCTCAGGGATTTCATTAGAAACAAATATTGATAAACAACCTATAACTCCATCTTCATCTCCAGACAGCGCAAATTACATAAACGTTAAAATTGCAGATTTAGGAAATGCATGCTGGACTCATCATCATTTTACAGACGATATCCAAACACGACAATATCGTTCACCAGAAGTTCTTTTAGGTGCTAAATGGGGTGCAAGTACTGATTGCTGGAGTATGTCTTGCATGGTAGTTGATTTTTTATAATATTCTTCTACTTAAAATATTACTAGGTATTTGAATTACTAACAGGTGATTATTTATTCGACCCTAAGAATGGGCAAGATTATACAAAGAATGATGGTTAATATATTCATATATTTTTATTTATTTTTAAATTATAATAGATCATATTGCACAAATTATGGAATTACTTGGAAAGTTTCCACGATTTCTTGCATCAAGAGGAAAATATTCCCATGAAATATTCAATAAAAGATGTAAAATAAAAAACGATTTATTTAAATCTCTGATTTTTATTTTTAGGTGAACTACGTCATATTTCAAAATTGAACTATTGGGGATTACCAGAAGTACTTCATGATAAATATCACTTGTCATGGAGCGAATCTGATCTATTGAGTGACTTTCTTCTTCCAATGCTAGAAATTATTCCGGAGAAAAGAGCTAATGCAGGAGGAATGACTAATCATCCATGGCTAAAGGATACACCTGGAATGAACAAAAAATATCTTAATATACCAATAGGTTCTCGAGGAGAAGGAATAAAGGGATGGGCATGTGAAGAAAACGATTGAAATAGCATTTCTATAATTTATAAATATTTGATATACACAAGAAAAATCCTAGAATGCAATTTGAAAAATTTTGGATATATATAGCGATATTTCTACTATTTGTATAAAAAATTAATCTAATGAGTATGATTTTCTAGTACAGTTAAAAAACATAAATCTAAAAGTTAACATTATATAAATAGCCAATCAATTTATAGAAATTGATTCATGAAAAAAACAATTATAAACCAATAATATATACAATCATGATTCATATATCATCCTTCTTGAATTACGTAAATTATTACCTGATTGTTTACGATATTGTTGATAATTATAAACATTGTCAGTAAAGTATGGTGCAGCAGCAGCCATGTATGGATGAGGATGATTTATACTTTTTGCCCTAAAAAATCCAAATGCAAAATTTGATATAAAAACTGATCCAAATATTATCAAAATACAAAATATCTAAAAAGTTTAAAGATATTTTATAATTTTAAAGCTTACCATAGTTTTATAAGATATGGGCTCAATAAAACTATTAATAATTTCTGCAAATGTCTCAGCAGAAACCTTTGCACGACCAACAACAGTAGGATCTCGATTCATACATCTTTCCCAAGCAGCACAAGCCCGTTCCATTGCAGGAACTCTGTGATCCGGAGAACATCGATTTTCAGTATATTCTTTTGAACATAATGACATTTCTTGTAAAATTTCTTAAAAAAAAATTAGATAACAATAAATATTTTTATAAAATTTACCAGCAGAATACTCATCTACCTTTTGATCAACATCCCTTTGAATTGTCCTAACAAAAGCAATAACAAAATATAATAAAACACCCAGAAGAAATATATTAAAAAATAACTGTAGATACCCTGATGCAATATAAGGAATGTCTCTATGAGCATTAAGAGACCAATTAGTAAAATAATTATTCGTCTGAAGAGGCATAGTCGTTTCATCCTAAAAATTATTACAAAAGAATTAAACTTCAAAAAATACATCACTGTCCACACAATTTCCATCCCAAAACCTACGTTCACCATTCTTCTTAGATGAACGTTTTTTCTTAATCTTTTTTATAACACCTTGACTTATTTTATTATTTTTCATATTAATTAAAGAAAAATGATTCTTTTCTAAAACATTATGACCTTCTACCATTCTTTCTGGATCTGGTGTATTATCTAAACCCGAGCTATCTGTTGGTGCTTCATTTATAAATTGTGAATTTGATGTTATTTTTTTAGAACCATAATTTGTTTTTGGTGTAGAAAATAAAAACTGAGCACCATCTGCAGCTGATCTAAAAGATGTTCCTGCTGTTGGAACATTTTTTTCCAAAGTTTCTATAAAACTTCCTTCCAAATAATCAACAATGTATTCCCTTATCTAACATAAAAATAATACGTTTTTTAGAAAAATCACTATTTCCAAGGCATTTAGAGATACTTGAAAGACTAAACGGCGAATTTACATCATCTCCAAGACGAGGATTCTCATATGTAAAGTCCATAGGTGATTCTTCTGAACGCATCATTAAATATATAAAAATATACAAGAAAAAAGTGAACAGTTAAAGTATTTAATATCTAAACAGAGCCCTATTAAAATACTTTTGTATAAAAACAATTTAAAAAATTAGTAGTTGTTTTTAAATTTAAGCTAAAAAGCCGCTAAACTTAATATTAATATAGTCAGTGATTTTTAGAAGAGAATGACAAGAAATATGTATATTTATTGTGATTACAGAGAGTTAAAAAGTATAAAGAATGATTAAGATTTTTGTTAAAAAAAGAATCTATAAAAAATTAAAAACAAAATGAATCGGTGTAGATTGAGAAGAAAATGAAAAAAAACCAAGTACTTTATATAAAAAAGAAATTGGTATTAAGTGGAAATGATTTTTTGGAGTTTGAATATTGAGGAAGAAATTTCATATTTTGACATTACCCATTCCATGTTCTTTCATATATTCTGAACCCATTTCTAAATATTCTTGTTTAGTAATATAACTGTTTTTATATTGATCTGTATGAGACCATTGTTGCATACCTCTCCAAGGATCGATGAGTGGATCTTTAGCTTGTCGTACAGAAATAGGTTTATCGGCAGGCCATAAGGCTCTAAAATCCTTTTCTATTCTGAGGCTGAAATTTTTAAGTAAAGAAGCACCTCCAGTGCAGAAAATATTATTTGCCATTTTTTGGGAATCATTTAAATTGAAACGAGATAAAATATCACTTATAACTTCAATTATACTTGCTTGATCTAATCCAACTATATTTGGTTCAAAATAAATTTCTGGAACCCTTATTCTTTCGACATTTAAATGCAATTGATGTAATTGTTGAACATCGTTAGGGTCGAATGGAGGATATACTCCCCTATAAAATTTGTGAATCCATGATTTAGTAGGATTTTCATTAAAATCTAAGAGATCATCCTTGGCAAATGTTGGATCATACAACATCAATTGAGATTCTAAATGTTGCAAGTTATTGTTATCTTCGTCAGATTCTGATGTATTAACAATATTACGATATATAGCCCAATCCTCATCATTTGCACCAAAAGTATCCTCAACTATATTCAATTAGATTATTTCAATCAAATAATAACCCCTACTTTCCGTAGTTCTTCTTCTCTTTCTTCTAGAATATTGATCACTAGCTAGATTGGCAATACTTTTCATACGCATTTGACTAGCCATACTTTTTCGGTCATTAAGATCAGCTTTTAACTTTTTTTTCTCTTTTATTTTCTCCAATAAACAATTTCTAGCATTTCTTTTTTCTTCAAGCCATTTTTCCAAGTCGTTTAAACGTTTTTCTTCATCCAATTTTTCCATCTCTTCGTTACGAGCCTTCTTAACCTGTTTTTCCGTCTTAGACCTCATTCTAGCCTCATAATTAGATTTCATTAGCCTCTGATGCCTTTTTTGTTTAAGCCCTGCTTCATCCAATTCTGAATCAGGAATATCAAGTAAAGGAAAGGATGGAATCTCAGTATCTTGACAAGAATCTTTATTTTTCGCTCTTCGAATCGCAGTTTCAAGTCTTTTTATTGTAGCAAGTAGCTCTGCTTCATCAGCAAATCCCTCCGATTCTAATTTTTCCATAACGTATCTCTTATCCTTAAACTTTATAGTCTCCTGAAGCTTAACATAATATTCCATATCCTTTTCTTTTTGCATTAACTTTTCTAATCGAGTTTTCTGAGCTTGTTGTTGCAAACGACGTCCTGCTTCTTTCCTCTTTTGAGCAAGTCGAGCAATTTCCTCTTCTGTTTTTAAATTTGAAACAACTTCTGTGCATGGAAATTGAATTATTCTATCCTGAACAGCTAAAACCTCTGGATCCAAAAACGTTTTAATTTCATCCTTATATGATAATGAAACATATGTATGATCATGAAGCAAACATTGCGCCTGTGTAAACGTCATTTTTTGAGGAAAATTAGGATATTTCAATTGAAAAAGTTTAAGTAAATATTCCGTAGATTGTACACCTCCCCATGATATTCTATACTTGTCATTATTCATTAAATCATTAGAAAAAAAATCTACCTTTTCGACGAACCCAAATGTCCAGAAAAATTTAATACAGGAATAACATGTGTTGTATTATTACCTACACTCACAACTACTCCATCCGTACCACCATTATAATAAAATGAAAAAAGACTATCAATACCATAACATACTGATGGAACACAATAACATTCAAACAATAATTCTGACATAACTATTATCATTAACCCAATTCATACATAAAAATCTAAATAACCTCCACGATTATAATTCGGATTACATACGGGTTCTGTCATAACTAAAGGATGCTCTACCTGTTCATTTCCTTTAACACCTAGCTTCAAAAATACATAATCTAATAATATTTCCTTCAAATAATCAACAAAACCCCAATCATAACCCCATTAAATATACCATTACATCCCAATTAGCTACAATATTAAAATCAAATGGACTTTTTGCTATATGTCTGGCCATAGGTTCTACTAATGTATCATTTCCTACTAATGTATATGTCTTCATTAATCGTCTATCTCTATACTTTGAAACAAAACTATCAAAAACAATACGGGGTGATAATTCTGTTGCATATCCTGCTCGGCATTGCCATGATCCTATAACCAATAATTAATCAAATTCATTATTATATTCATCAAACCATTATCAATCAAAATTAAAGGATTCCCCGGACCAGAAGAAGATGCTATACATTCTCCTTCAAAAGCAATGTCCCGCACATCATAAATCATAGGAGTTGCTCCAATCATTGTCTAAAATTTTAGACAAAAGCTCGTCAAAAAAAAAGTAACACCCGATGACCGAAGAAACCCAAGTGTATCAAGAAAAAAAAATATACAAAAACCTCAAATAAAAAGAACCAATAGACTTAAAGAAATTCTATCCTATCAAATTGCAAGAAAGAAAGATAAAAAAAAAAGAATCGAAAATAATATGTATAGATTTGAAAAAAAACCATAAAATTTTATTTAGCTTTAAAACACCTTGTTTAGACTCCCCCCAATATAATATACCATTATTTTGTTTCTGAAATTTATTTAAAGAGGTTTTTCAAGATGATTTGTTCCCTCTAAATGAAATCGTACATTGCGTCCATAATTAGCCCACATTTGAGAAATTAACTCCAAATTCATATTAGCCATATTAATTTCCTGAAATATATCAAAAATCTAGAATAAGAATAATATTTTTACTTGAATGCAGCGATTAAATTCCATAATAGCTTCATTCAATTTTTCCTAATTTAAAAAAATAAAAAAAAAATATAAAACTTAAGAAACATACAACATTGGTTACAATACGAGCCATCAAAGCATTCTGCTGTTCTTCATGAGGATTCTCCATAATTTTAGTTAACTCAAATCCTTGGATATGTCTTTAATTCGACATACGATTCCAGATTTTTTCTAAGTAAAAAATACAAAACTTAATACTTGGTAAAAACATATTAAACCAAGATCCCATATACTATCCATATGAAATCCAATGATTCAGAAAGAATACATATATATATTTGTCTTGATTCCAAACCTATGACATTCATTTGATTTTTAATGTATAAAAAAGATCCAAAACAATGAAATAATAGAAATAAAGGAAGAATAAGCATTCTTAGAAGATAATCCTATATTATTTTTATATATTTGAACATTTTTTGAATACCCTGTATTTTAGAAAGAATTGTAAAAAATAAAGATAAGTAAGACAAAGTAAAAGATGAACACGTTATTGTAAAAGGTATAACATCCATAAATAATCACTTATTTTTCGTGTATTTATATGAAAATCTAAAATGATAAGAAAACAAAAAAAATCCATTTAAAATACTTTTTTCGTGTTGGAGAAAACTCTCCTAGCTTATGACCAACCATCTAATGTGTTTTCATTAAAAAAAAGCTAAGTTACTGTAAAAAATCTCACATCTTCTGTTATAAGAACATTCACATAATCCTTTCCATTATGAACCAAAAAACGCAAGCTGAAAGTTAAAAAAAGATAAATTATTAACATAAAATACCCAACAAAACTAGGGAGAATTGTACAAGATCTTTCTTGAGTTTTAATTGGAGGAATATCTTTTGAAGCATTTGATAAAGATAAGGAAAAAGAAGCAAGATTTGGACCTAAAAAATCAGTGATAAATAGTAAATTAATATATAATCATTAAATAAACCTTTCCATAGGGATCTAGCACAGTTTATACGAGTAAAAAAGACCATCTTTAAGGGTCGTATCAGGTTAACGTTATCAGCGAAAAGATTAACGTTTAATAATATAATATATATATTTAATTATATACATATAAATCCATAAATTATAATTTTATCTAAAAGAACAGAAAAACTATAAGCATAAATAGTTTATATGCCTTATAAATTTAAAATAAATTTAATAAGTGATATAATTTGTTATGCAAAACCAAATCCTTCAGAACCTTCATTTATAGCAGTAAGTAAAGCAGAACGAAGTGCTTCATAACTTCCATATTCTGGAAGATCTATTTGATTATAACAAGTATGACCTAGAAATTTCAATTTTTTATTAAAAAAAAAGGAAAAAAATACTTTGAGGTAGACGATCGCTAGATGTAGGATCACGATGAATAGAAAACTTCTGTATACCCTGCATCCCCTCAAGTTCCTTAAAGCCATTCAAAGGAACTTTTGATGTTCCTGTTGCAAACTAACAAAAAGTGAATATAATACAATAATGATATATATTATTTTACCTGAAGCAATTTTGCACGCTGTTCATCATCAAAAGAACGAACAGCTCTCCAAAACCATTGTATCTGTGGTGATGATGCAGTATAATTGAAATATCTATTTACATAAGCTAAAAAAAAAAAGACAAATTCAAAACTTACTCAGTATTATGACGCCAATCATCAACATCTATATCTGGCAAACCAGAAATAAGAAGTTCCAATTCTTGTTCATTAAATATTTGGATAAGATCTGGAGGTATAATATCATAAAACCCTAAAGAATCAATATAAAAATAATATGATTAAAAATGAATACTTACCAACAAGAAAATTATCCAATTGATCTTTAACACTATCAATAAGCCGATATTCTATGACAGCTTTGACATATTCATGTTTATTTTCTTCAGTGACTAGTATAGTTCTTCCTCCAGGTACCAAATCAACAGTTTCTGTTGCACCATAATTTTCAGTTTCTACAGAAAAGGTTTCAGTAATAACATCAGTAATATCATTTTCAAGCATCTAAAAGCATTAATATATAATGAATGAAAAATATGAAATTATTTCTACCCAAACTAATGATTTATAATATTCTAAATCAAGTGTTTCAATATCTTTTAAAGAGACAGGTTTCCCCAATATTTTCTACAGAACAATTAAAACATATAAATAATAATAATAATAATAAAATTACTTTATAAACTGCACGACTAAAATGTGAATCTAACAATCGATTATCATAAAGAGCTTTTCCAATAATACGGCCAATAAACTTGATTTTTTTTAAAAATAGATCTATTAATAAAAAAATACTAACCTTGAAAAATGAAAGATGATCTTGATTAACATCTGATCTTCTATTAGGATGAAATGTAGTCCGATCAGCAGCAACGGGAATGAACAGCGCATAATCCTAATAACAAATTAAAATAATTAAAACAAACACTATATTCTTACAGGGTTGAACATTTGTCTAGCAAGAGCTTGATACCATTCACGAGTTAATCCACCAGCGTCAACACCTTCTTCTCCATGAAATCGAATATTCAATTTTGAATATTTCATTTCATCTCCTGATTTAAAATACAAGGCTAAATATGAATCTAAAAATATCATCTCACGACGAACATTTAGTTGCAAAGGTGGATAATGCTCCCTATTAGTTCCACGATCATGTAGTCTTCGATTAAAGTAATTTCGTTTATTATCAAAATCCAAAATCTTAGGATTTTTTACCAAAAGAGAAACAGAACCACTCATTAATGATGGATTATTTCGAACCATTTGATTAAGTATTTTTCTATGGTTTTCAGTAAAAGAAAAGAATATATATTCCATTGAATCTTCTGAAGGAGTTGTTTGACGAGATCCATGAGGCAATTTAGATATATCTTTTAACGCCGTATTTTTACATATAACCATAAGAGCTTCTATCAATGGCAACAAAATTGTTGCTACATGTATCATATCTGATCTCTCTTGAATTGCTAAAAGACATGCACTTAATTTTTTCCAAAGTGGACGAAATGTCAATGAATCATAAAGTCTAAATAAATCATTATTATTCTCAGTTTCGGAAGACTGAGAATTTTCCTTTTGTTCAAAAAGGTAACTAATAGCTTTAAGTATTCGTAACAATTTGGCTTGGTCAGAACTGGGAGGAGAGAACTCCGATAAAGCAGCACCTTGAAACTCTATTCCAAAAGATGCATTTTGAATTTGTTGAATCAAATCATCCAATTGTCCCAATAATTTCGAACCAAATGCTTGAGCCTGACAAACAAGTTCATCACCAATAATATCTTTAGACCCAGGAATTATAGACAAATGCTGCATAGCAGCCAAAGTATGCTGAAAAGTTTTGCTAGAGCAGTCTCTAGAAGTAAGAATGTTCACAATAAGTCTCAAATTGTTTTCAGGAATATATGGTGGCAGCACAAGCCTATTTTTATTTTTAATATCTTGATCTTTATTATTATTATTATCAACAGATTTTGCGTCAGTATCATCATGAGAGTCAGCATTATGTTCACTTTTTTCTTCAACTATATCCTCATTAATTTCAAATTGAGCCTGAGAAGTTCCCGCATTCTTGTATAATTCAGAATCCTGTTTCCCTCTTTTTTTAAGAACTAATAATGGTCGGGTTATAATAGAAAGTAAATGAGAAAATTGATCCATTATATTAGAATTCTGCAAAATCGAGTCTCTATCAAGAAGACTTAACAATATATTAATAGCATATTTAGATCCCTTAGTGCTTATATCCTTTCCCTTATCTTTACGAGAATTAAATCGTCGTGGACGAATTATATGATCATGTTCATTTAAAAAATAGGAAGGTAAATACTCATTCCATTGAATAAGAAATTCAAGAGCCTCTATACATTGTTGTGTAACCAAATTCGGGGTATTTTCTCTATTTGATTGAAGAAAAGAAGAAAGAGAATATTTAGATGTTTTAGACTTAGGAGTTGACTTTAATGTAGATGTGTTTTTTGCTCTAAGAGACATTTGAGAAAAACTTTTATCAACCGCATATAAATCATTAGTTCCATCTTGTAATACAGAAAGCAAAAGATTTATCACTTCAATTCTATTTTGACGATTTTTGCAAACATTTAATAATATATCATGAAGAGGATTTTTACCATTAGGCTGAGGAATGAAAAGTAAACGAACCAATGTAGCAACTCCTGCTTTATCAAGAAGCTGTGCTATTTCGTGCTTTACTGAAGATTTTTTCGATGGTGCATTATTAGTTTGTTGATGAGTTGATGCAGATATTTGAAATATCTGTCCCAATCTTCCTGAAGACCTTTCTCGAAGTGTATTTGCTTCTTCAGCAAGTGAAGGAGGAAGTTGTGATAAAAATTCATCATCTTGATCAAGAAGAACTTGTCTTCGAAGATATGGATCCAGTGTAGCCAAAAAAGTCACAGGATCTATTTCAATCGGACCCGTAGTAGGAGCATTAGAACTATTTCTTGATGCATGAGCTTGCTGTTCTCTCTCTCTTCTTCTTCTATCAGCTGCCTCCTGTTGCAACAATTCCTCCCTAATTTCCTCCGGTAAAGCATTTAAAAATTCAGGACTAATATCAGATGAGTGACTAGTTAATTCCGCAACTCTTCTATCCCTAATATGCTGGGTAAGGACATCTTCTCTCATATCTTCAGGTAAAGCTTCAAGAAAAGTAGGATCAATATCTAATGAAGTAATATCAATCTCATTGCCACGTAGCATAACAGTAACACGTGAAGGCAATCCAGAAGGTTCTTCTGTAGAGCGTTCTTGAGCTTGAGCAGAAGTACTTTCAACACCATCCATAATAGATGAACCTACAGTGTTATTCTCAACCTTTTCCGGTTCATTATCATGCAGTTCATTTTCTAACCGATTTTCTTCGTTATTATCTTCAGCCGACTTCCCTGATATTTCTTGTTTCTTTTTTGCTTCTTCTAAGATTTTTTCCTTCTCTTTACGAATCTTTTCATCTTTAATTGCTTGAGGAGCAAGTACATTCATTAATGAATTTAGCAACAATAACGCCTTTTCCACAACACCACTACCATAAATCAAACGTGCTTCATCAAACCATCTTTGACTAGTTGATGTCGGCGACCAAGTAGCAACAGCAGTAATTGGATCTTCTCTAGAAGATCTTTGATTTTGTTGAAGTGATTGTGAACGCTGACCAAACATCCTTTCTACTTCACGTGTCAATAGGCTACCATTGCCCGTATTAACTTCAACTCTAATAGCATGTTGCAAAGGTCCCCTAATTTGACGACTAACCCTATTCATTACGTCACCCAATACTTGAACAGCACCTCCTCCTATTAATTGTTCTATAGATTGTACCCAATCTGTAAAACTATCAGATCTTGAAAAACTATCACGACTTTGCAATGTGTGTCTCTGAGACATATTTGTGGAATCTATCAATAAAGGATTAATGCCACTTTCACCTATATTATTAATCCTAGATCTCCGGCGAAATACTTGTTCATTTGGTTCACCTGTTTTTCAAAGTTAGCACATATAAAAAATAGACAATATAATTATTACTAATAAAATGACACCCTCCTGATGTTATAGCAAGCCATGATCTCCTATTTGAACGACTAATTCCATTATCATCATCATCATTTGTAATATCATCGATAGAACTCCAGCCCCACTGACCATTAGCTTCTATCTCATCAATATCATTAGGAAGAAGTTCTTCTTCTATTAAAGCTTCTTCTGCATCATCATCATCATCATCGTCATCATCATCATCGTCATCATCATCGTCATCATCTCCCTGATCTTCTCTATCATCATCAATTAATACATCAGCATCCGCTTCATTGTCTCCCTGGGCACCACTAGACAACGAATGCAACTGATTAGATCTGCTTTCAATGTTATTTTGAGGATCATGCTCAGATTCAGTTTGCCATCCAGATTCATCATCAATTTCAGCATCAAAACCTTCATCTCCAGAAACTCTATTGGGATCTTCAACAGGATCATTAGAACCTAATTCCGTTTGTTCGTTAA